CAACAAAACCAACGCAACTGTTTTTTTTTTTTTTTTTTTAATTTATTTCTAGGAGGGAGAAAGAGAGACTGCGTGAGCAGGGGAGGGTCAGAGAGAGAGGGAGTCACAGACTGAAACAGGCTCCAGGGTCTGAGCTGGCAGTCAGCACAGAGCCGGACGCGGGGCTCGAGCCCACGAACCGCGAGATCATGACCTAAGCGAAAGTCGGACGCTTAACCGACTAAGCCACCCAGGCGCCCCTCAATGCAACTGTTTCTTTGAAAAGATCATTAAAATTGGTAAGTCTCTATTTAGGCTAAGTAAGAAAAAGAGGAAAAACACAAATTACTAATGTAAGAAATGAAAGAAGGAACATCACGACTGCTCGTGGACATGAAAAGGATGATAAAAGAATACAATGAACAACTCTATGCCCACAAACTTGATAACCTACATGAAATGGACCGATTCCTTGGGAGGACAAATCTCCTTGAAATTCACACAAGAAGAAATACACAATCTAAATAAACTTCTGGGGCGCCTGGGTGGCTCAGTCCAGTAAGCATCCGACTTCAGCTCAGGTCATGATCTTGTGGTTCCTGAGTTCGAGCCCCACTTTGGGTTCTGTGGTGGAGCCTGGAGCCTGCGTCAGCTTCTGTATCTCCTTCTCTCTCTGCCCCTCCCCCTCTTGCACTCTGTCTCTCTCTCAAAAAAAATTTTTTTAAATAAATATAAATAAATAGGGGCAGAGATAGAAAAAATTCTATCTTTTAAAGAGATTGATTCATAAATTAACTACCTTCAAAAACACAGAAAGCACCAGGCCCAGATGGGTTCACTGAAGAATTCTGCCAAATAATTAAGGAAGAAATTATACCAATCATCAACAATCTCTTTCAAAGGATAGAAGCTAAGGGTACTTCCTAACTTATTTTATGACGTCAGCACTACCCTAATAACAAAACCAGATAAGGCATTACAATAAAAGAAAACTAGACCAATATCTCTTATGAACATAAATACAAAAATTCTCAACAAAATATTAGCAAATCAAATCCCCAAAAAAGTATAAAAGTAATTATGTACCATAACCAAGTGGGATCTGTCCCAGTATTAAAGACTGGTCCAACATTTGAAAATCATTGAATGTAATTCATCCCATCAACAGATGAAAAAAGAAGTCACTTGATCATATCAATAGATGCAGAAAATGCATCTGACAAAATCCAATACCTACTCATTATAAAAACTCCCAGTAAACTAGGAATAGAGGTGAATTTCCTCTACTTGATAAATACTCCCCACAAAAAACCTACAGTTCACCTCATACTTAATAATGAGAGACCTGAAGTTTTCCCACTAAGATGAGGTACAAGGCAACAATGTCACCTCTCACCACTCCTTTTCAACACCGTGCTGGAAGTCCTACTAATGCACTATGGCACAGCAAGGAAACAAAACGTATACAGGTTGGGACAAAAGACATGAAACTGTATTTGTTCACAGATGACACGATAACCTATATGGAAAACCAAAAGAATCAACAGCAGCAACAACAAAAAACTTCTGGAACTAAAAGTGATTTTTAGCAAAGTTGCAGGATACAAGGTTAATACACAAAGGTCAATTGCTTTCCTATTTATCAATAATGAATGAGTGGGATTTGAAATTAAAAGCACAATATCACTAATAGAACTACCATATGACCCAGCAATTGCACTATTAGGCGTTTATCCAAAGGATACAAAAATGCTGATTGAAGGGGCACATACACCCCAATATTTATAGCAGTGCTATCAACAATAGCCAAATTATGAAAAGAGCCCAAATGTCCATTGACTGATGAATGGATTAAAAAGATGTGGTATATATATATATATATATATATATATATATATACACATAATAAAATACTACTCAGTGACAAAGAAGAATGAAATCTTGCCATTTGCAACAACATGGATGGAACTGGAGAGTATTATGCTAAGCGAAATAAGTCAGTCAGAGAAAGACAGATATCACATTTCACTCTTGTGGAATTTGAGAAACTTAACAGATGATCATAGGGGAAAGGAAGGAAAAATAAGATAGAAACAGAGAGGGAGGCAAACCATAAGAGACTCTTAAATGCAGAGAACTGAAGGTTAATGGGAGTTGGGGTGTTAGAAGGTGGAGTAAATGGGTGATAGGCATTTAAGATGGGCACTTATGAGGATGAGCACTGGGTGTCATTTGTAAGTGATGAATCACTGGGTTCTACTCCTGAAGCCAAGACGACACTGCACGTTAACTAACTCGAGAATAAACAATTTATATTAGCTCTCCCCAAAATGAAATTCTTAACTATAAATCTAAAAAAGTATCTATAATATCTACATATAGGAAACTGAAACTCTGATGAATAAAAGCAAAGAACTACATAAAGAAATGTTTCATGTTCATGGATAGGAAGCTCCAGTATTGTCACGGTGTCAGTTCTTCACAACTTGACCTACATATTCAATGCAGTCCCAATCAAAATCTCATCAAGTTATTTTATGGATACCAGCAAACTGATTCCAAAGTTTATATGGAGAAGTAAGAGACTCAACAATAGCCAACACTTCAATACAGAAGGAGAAGAACAAAGTCAGAGGTCTGACACTACCCAACTTCAAGACTCACTGTAACATCACAGAGATCAAGGCAGCATTGTACTGGTGAAAAATAGACAAATAGAGCAACAGAACATGATAGAGAGCTCAGAAATAGACCCTGGAAGTAAAGTCAACTGATCTTTGACAAAGAAGAAAGGTAATCAAGGGGGCAAGGATCATCTCTTCGAACAAATGGTGCTGAGTGTCCATATGCAAAAATGAATATAGATACAGACATTATACCCTTGATGAAAGTTAAGTCAAAATGGCTCATAGGCCTAAATGTGACATGCATAATTATAAAACTCCTAGGGGATAACATAGGAGAAAACCTAGATGACCCTGTTTCTAATGACCTTTTTTAGATACAACACTAAAAATATGACTCATGAAAAAAATAATGGATCAGCTAGAATGAACAAATTCTGCTCTGAGAAAGATAACATCAAGAGGACAAGAAGATGAGCCACAGATGGGAGAAAATATTTGTAAAAAAAGACAGCTGATTAAAGTGTGATATCCAAAATACACAAAGAACACTTAAAAATTGAAAATAAGAAAACAACCAGATCAAAAAATGGGCCAAAGATCTTAAGAGATATCTCACTGTAGAAGATAATACAGATCGAAAATAAGAATATGAAAACAATGTTCCACATCACACATCATTAGGAAAATGCAAATTCAAACAATGTGATACTATGACTTACACTTATTAGAATGGCCAAAATCTGGAACACTGACAATACCAACTGCTGACAAGGATGTGGAGCAACAGGAACCCTCATCCATTACTAGTTAAAATGCAAAATGGTATAAACAGTTCGATGGTTTCTTACAAAATGAAACATAGTCTTACCATATGATATAGCCATGACTTCCCTTGGTATTTACCCAAAGAAGGTGAAAAACAGTTCACACAAAATCCTGCACACAGAAGTTTAGAGCAGCTTTATTCATAATTGCCCAAATTTGGAAGCAACCAAGATGTCCTTCAATAGGTAGATTGATAAATAAACTGTGGTATACCCAGATGACAAAATACTATCCACTGCTGAAAAGAAATGAGCTATTGAGCCATGAAAAGACATGCAGAAACCTTAAATGCATGTTGGTAAGTGAAAGAAGCCAATCTGAAAAGGCTATACACTGTATGACTCCAACGCTATGACATTTAGGAAAAGGTGAAACTACAGAGACAGTAGAAAAGATCAGTGGTTGCCAGGAGTTGGGGAGGAGGGGCTGGACAAAAGTCAGGTGGGAACGGTGGACCCACCTGGATAAACTCAAGTTTATCCAGAGAAAATCAGATCAGGGGCTTGCTTTCCAGGAGTCAGATAAGACATACCTACTAATAACCATGGGAAGGGAAACCAAGGATGGGCCAGGGAAAGCATTCTCCCAAGGAAGCAAAAAGAAGGGAAGCCTAAGGAGCTGGAGCTGGCCATCTCCCGTTGCCACACTTAGCACTGTGCACTGGTTCGCAGGCCCTGAGACACCTGAGCAAGAGGTAACAGGCACAGACACATGACTGTGTTGGTGGACACATCTGCAAACACGGGCGAGCATGTGGTGGCAACTGGTCTGCTTGAGACCTAAATCTTCACTGGGCCTTGCACGTCAGCTCTGCTTCTGTGGTGTCCTCCCCTGCCCCTGCAGCACTTTATCCTCGGGGCTCACAAGAGGTCTATGCACCTTCCACACAGTGTGAGGGGACGGTATTTGTCTGTCTTGTCCCTACAAGACCGAGTGACCTAAATACTGGAGCGGCATCTTGTTGACCCTGTACCCTCAGTGCCTGCTCAGGTCCTCAAGCAGGACCTCATGAGCTTGTGAGTGAGCAAAAGAAGAAAGGGGCCCAGGCAAAGGCCTGTGGGGATCTTTGTGCAGGGGTCATAGGGCATGTAAGGCAGTAGGAGTACCAGCACCCCAACAGCTTCCTCCTCCTCACCCGCTAGTTCTCAGCCCCCATCAAGTCTGGGGCCAACGTCCTTAGCAGCTTTCACACAACTATGAAGAGCTGCGACTGTCCTGAGGTCCGTTCCCCTGATGAGACCGTAAGCCCCACAGGGCGGCCTGGTTCCGCTCCCTCCGGCTGTCCCCAGCGCTCTAACACCATGCCTGTCACGGAGCTGGTAACTTGCAAATACTTTTGGAAGGGAAGATAATAGAGTTTAAGTGGCATGTACTGGTAACAGTGCTCCTCTGGGGCACTGGAAAACAAAGAGATGTCAAGGCACAAATGCTGACCACAAAGAACTTTGTCTCGAGCTGGGGTCGACAGGCTCACACAGGCATGCTCTTTCCCCAGGCAGCTGCGGTGTAGAAAGGGGGACGGGGGAGAGCAAACTGGGCCCTGCCCCGCTGATACGGGGAGATACTCACTGGGAACAACCGTGGTCTCCCCAGGAGGGCCGGTCAGCGTCACTGGAATATGCACAGTGGCACTCAGGTCCGAGGGTTGACTGCCCATCCGTGTGACATTCCGCTGATTGTCTGCATCTTCTGGCTGTTCCTCCACCTTCTGTAGACAGGTGCTGGGCAATGCATGCACAGGGCCCACACCCGTTACCTCACCGGCCTCCAGGTCACAGTGCGGCTCCCTGCAACCAAGAATGCACATCAGACTCTGATGCAGCCCCTGCATCATCAGTCAGTCTGCAAAATCCAGCTCCTTATGTCCCTGACCACTTCCCCTGCTACTCTGGTATTTCAGATGGCTTTTATCACTTTGTAACATTTCTGTGTTTTCAGGTCTGAAAAGTAAAAATGGGGCCAACTCAACCTGTCTGTCCCTGGAACAAGACCAGGCACGGCTGGCACCACAATATGTATATAAAAGGGAACTGTCTGCAGAATGAAGAGGCCTGGAAGAGGTTGTCAATCCAAGCTACTCCACCTGGAGCCCCTCCAGGCCAAAGGCCCAGCATGGAACTCTGCACACAAAGACAGGGTCTGGACCTGAGCAGTGGCTTCCAGCTGGTGGGCGGGCACCCGAGGCTGCTGGCCTTGGCCTGGGGCCTCCTGTTAGCCCAGCTTTCTCACAGAGTCAGAGTCCCAGCCTGTCCCAGCCCGGGAACAAGGCCAGGTGAGCTGGTATGGAGGGGAGGGGGGCCCTTCCTGTCACGGCCCCCCAGCCTGGCCCCATCCCTTTCTCCCATTTAGCCCCCGGTGGCCTCCTCGGGCCTCCCTCAGGCTCTCTCCGGATTTTCTCTTCTCCCCTCGCCACGATGCTCCTCCCAAGCCAGCCTGTCCCGAACCAGTCCCAAAATGTCCCCGAACGCCCTCTTTTCCCCCTGCGAGCCGTAGAATCATGGCTGACGTTCACTGCGCAAACCTGATCCCCACGCCGTTTTAAGAGTTTTACATGTCCCCCCAACAGCGCAGGTCCGTCACCACCGCAGAGAGAGAGAGAATGAGACGCAGGGCGGGACGACCAACCCGAAAAGGCGCCGCTGGGCAGCCCTGCACCCCAGAACCCCGCCCCAGCTGCACCCCCAGCCCCCTCCGCCACCCCCACGCGCGCGCCCCCTCACTTGGGCTGGTGGTTCCGGAGCTCCTTGTCCCTGTCCCTGTCCTCGCCCTCGCCCTCCTTCTCCGCAGCCTCCTTCTCCGCGTCCTCGTGCGTGGGCAGCGCCTTGTGCCGGGCCCGGTGCCGCCGCGCCGGCTCCTCCGCGCTCCCTGCCTCCCGGGGGCCGGCCCGGGGGCCGCCGCGGTGGCGCGCCCGCCGCTCGCCCTTGGTCCCGGGCGCGGCGCCCTCCTTGCCCGGGTCGGGTGCGTGCCGGTGCGCGCGGTGGCGCCGGGGCTCCCGCTCGGCCGCCTCCTCCGGGGAGCCGCGCCGGTGGTGGCGCCGACCGCCCTCGGGGCCCGGGCCACGGCCGCGCTCGCCCCGGGCCTCCTTGCTGCGGCTGCGGTGAGGCCGCGCCCGCTCCTCCCGGGCCCCCGGCTCCCCACCGTCGGCCTTCGGGGCGTCCGCCCTGTCCTGCTCCCCCGCCGCCGGGGCCGGGGCCGGGGCCTTGTCGCGGTGCCGGTGGTGCCTGCGCGGCAGGTCCGCGCCCTCGCCGGCCTCCGCGCCCTCGGGCCGGGCCTTGCCTCCCGCGGGGCCGCGCGGCGCGTCGCGCGCAAGCTCCACCACGAGCGGCCGGTCCAGGTGCGTCTTCATATCCGGCCGCAGGTGGCGCGTGGTGGCGTAGCGCAGGCGCTCCTCGGGGTCCATCTCGCTGTACAGCGCCTCGCAGCTGGCCCGCAGGTTCTGCAGCCGCAGCTGGCTGGCCCGCTGCTCCCAGACCGAGCGCGCCTTGGCCGAGTTCTGCGGCCTGCTGTGGGGAGACCGGCAGTGAGCAGCCGCCCCCTCCCCGCCTATCTGCCTCGCACGGGAAACCACAGATGGACGCAGCAATGGAGGGATGGCAGAGTGGACGCGGGGAGGAGGGAGGGTAGGGGCCCTGGAGGCTCCTGGCCGTCGGTGCAGAGCGGGTGGGGGATACCCAGCGGAACAAGAGTTCGGCGCTGCCCCCACGCCATCGTGACCCCGCGGACTGAGGGGTCCCGGGTGGGGGCCAAAAGCCGCCCTTGAGCAGGTGCCCAGGAGCCCGTGGCCAAGGGGTGCAGGGCAGTGGGAATGGTAAGCACCAGCATGGGGTGGCAGACAGGCTTCCAGGGCAGGGGGGCTGCTGGCCAGGAAGGCCAAGATGGGAAGGGCGGGGGGGTAGCGTCCAAATGGGGCAGGACTGAGGAAGAGGCAGGAGGCAGGGAGCCACCTGCAGCAGCCCTGGGGCGTGGGCCTTGCTCAAGCACATGGCAGAGCTGCCCAGGGAGGTGTTTCTCCATCTCCACCTACAGAAAGGCAGCCACTGGCCAGAAGGAGGCAGGGGTGTTTGTGACAGAACCTGAGAAGAGACAGGCCCTCAGGAACAGGGCAGACAATAGCCCAGGGAGCAAGGGGCCAGGGGCAGCGGGCCCTAAACGGAGCAACGAGTAAGCTGTGACTGCTCCCTAAGGCGATCAGCCCCATCCGGGCAGCTGCCACTGGGCTCAGTGACCATTTGCCCCCAGGAGCCCAGCACTCAGGTCTAGGGCTAGAGATGCTACCTCCCATGGCCCTCAATGCCCTCTTTTCTCCTGGCTCCACAGAGAGCCCCTTCCATCCACGGGCACAGAGAGGAGCCCTCCAGCACCAGGAACGGCCTATGTTGCAGACTCAGCCCTCACTGCACAGGCTACCGAAAGCCTCGACCACCCTCCAGCCTCACCCACATGGTCATATGTGGGGCTCCACAGCCCAGGGTACGTGGGAAGCCCTTTGCATTCTGGGATCTTTGCTGAATAAGGACTCCAAAGTAGGCGACTCCAGTCCCACCTCGGCCAAACAGAAACCTTTGCTGAGGCCAGAGTCTTGCCCTTCCGCCTCTGGAGGTTTCTGGACCCGCCATGGTGGTGGTGGTGGCAGCATAAGAACAATGCTGGCTGTGGCACCTGTATTGTTCAAGGGCCACACTGCGCCACGGGCTGCAATGCCCACCTCATCCGACCAGCACAACCACCTTCAGAAATTAGGTGCTGCCCTTGCCCCCTTTTCACAGATGAAGACTCTGAGCCTAGAGGCTGCGACTCACAGAGGGCCCCACACTGGGCCATTGACGGAGCCAGGAATAGATGCATGCAAAGGCAAAACAGAAAAAAGGTATCTAAAGATGTGAGGCCTTGGCCAGACCCCAACTGTACTGACACACCACAGCCCAGAGTGACAGCCTGAGGGGCCCCAGGCCAACACAGCCACCAGCTCCACGGCCCAGGCTGGAAAGGCCACCAGCTTCAGGACCCTGGGCCACTGAGCACCATGCTGACCTGCAAAGACAGAGGTAGCCGGGTGGGGGGAAGCCCAGTCCCTGCAGTTGACCTGCACAAAGCATAGGATACCTAATCCTGTTCCTTTGGAGTGAGGTCCAGGCTCTAGTGCTGGGAGCCATTTCCAGGGCAGTGCCTCAAAAGTGTGAAGGCAGAAGAGTACGATGTCTGTCCCTCACCTGGGAGCCCATGTGGCAGACAGGCAGGGCAACAGAGCGGGGACAACTGTCAGCCTCTCTGGCCATCTGCTAACCCACAGCTCCCACTGCCACCCCAGGCCCTGAGCTGCCTCCTCTGACACACCGAAGCTGGGCAGCCCTGCTCCTGGGGACGCCTTGTAACAGACCTTCCACTCTCTGTTTCTTTGGCTTCAAACCAAAGCCACAGGGGACCTACCCATCCCAGGCTGGCACCAAAACAAAGGACCCAACTCAACAATGCCGAACCACATGAAAGGTATGACAGCCTTGAGGGTCACTCCTCAGGCATAAGAGGACTGACAGTCAGCTCAGCAGCCTGACACGGACCTGGACTTGGCACCATTTGGTCAGCAGGGTCAGTGTGAGAACAGACAGGCAGTAAAGGCAGCGGGAACAATAGAGTGGCTGGGAGTGGCTGGGAGCTCAGGTGAGGGTGAGCTCGTGCCATATGGCTCTGCCCTCGGCCTTACCCTGGGCTGCGCTCCTTGTCTCCCAGCAACCAGCTACCCTGCTAGGCTGGAGGGTGCCACGGGGCTGGCAGACTCCCCTCGTAACTTCCCAGGGGACCAAGACACTGAACACTCGTGTCACATGGCCCCTCTGGGCCCTACCTGGCCCTGCTCCTGCTGGGTCTCTCTGCCTCTCTGGGCCTACTGCCACCCGAAGTTAGTGTCACCAGCGACGCTGCTGACTTCCTCTCTGGGTGTGTCTATGAGTCCGCGCACCAGGCCTCTCCTCCTTACTGGTGTCCGTGTCAGCCTGCACTCACCTGGCTGCTGTTCTGTCCTTGCTGTTTCTGGCACGTAAAGAAGTGTGGCCACCACTGGTCTCTCTGCACCTCTCCGCCGAGTGCACAAGCAGCAAGAACAGGACACACAGCTGACAATAACCCAGACAAAGTCCTTGTTTAAAAAGCCTCTTTGAGGAGCCACATGGGGCCACTCCCATGATGTCTCGACCCCAGCTTCTGGTATAGCCTATTCAGCCACACCAGTGCCAGGCACTGCGGATGCCTGTAGAGCCCAAAAAGAAGCCTCACTGCCATGGCCCTGCTTTGAAGTCTCTGGGCCGAGAGAGCCAGTTACCCGCAGCCGCTGGTAATGTGAAGCAGCCGCCTCTGTGATGCCGTCAATACCTATGTCCACACTTCACTCCACCCTGTGACTCAGTCATCCAGGATCCAGCTTTCTTACCCTGTGAGACATCAGGGCCCCAACAGCCAGCAGCTCCAAGTCCTTGCGGGCAAGCTGAACCCAGCTCTGTGCTGGCTTAGTAGGACGGGTGGCTCAGGGTTGCCAAGAGCTCCCACACTACCAGAACACAGAGAGGGCACCCAGCTACCCCCGTTCAGGTGGGCTGACCACACCCAAGCACTCCAGTGACTTCTCACCTGCAGGGGTCAGTCTCACCCGTGGGAGGAAGCTGCTGGGGACAAGTCTCCTGGGACAACTTCCCCCATGAGACTGGTATCACCTCCAAGAGAGCCATGCTGGGGTTTCTATGGCTCTACCTCAGCCTCTGGCTGATCTAACATGACATAGCGACTCTGCTCTTGCTAGAACAACTTCTTAAGGGTCATAGATACATCCCCTCCCAAGTGAAAAGGGGGTGGAGAAGGAGGACCCCATGAATATCTTCTGTGAGTCCTAATGAACACTCTACATCATGGGAACCATGAGGAGACAGCACCCATTGGTGCCCAGCGGCAGTCACCTTAGGAGAAGTGAATGTGCTCAAGACACCAGAGAGACGGCACAGGGACAGACAGCAGACAAGACGACCAGGAGGGAGAGGAAGAGGGGCTGAGCTCAAAGAGGCTGATGCCGTAAGCAGGACTTAGGGACGTCGGGAAGCATGCCCACTGTCCCCCGCCAGCTGCAGAAGGCTTTCCTGGAGCTGCCCCTGAAGCAAGTGATTGGGGGTGGAAAAGCAGTTAGGAGTGGAGGGAGGCGTTCGCATGTAGCTGTCATGAAGCCACAGATGGTATCGTAGCAGAGCAACTCACGGTGAGTTTACGCTGGAGACAGATGAGCTGTGGGATGCAGCACCTCGAGTGTGCTTTACAAAACTGCACATGCAAAAAACAAAACAAACAGAAGTGAGAAAACCAGAGAGGGTTCTAAAGGACAAGAACATGTTTAAGCCACATCAGGTCAGGGCGCAGTCTGCAGTGTACATCTGGGCAGGAGGCCAGGGACGCTTCCATCAGAATGGGCACCGGCCGAGACCTCGGGGTAAAAGAGAAGTTGAGAAAGAAAGAGCATCCGGCAGGAAAGTGACGCTAAAAAGAACACAGCACACCCCATCATGGCTGGAAGAAGAGAAGCTGCGGTCCTGGGGCCCATCCACTATGGCTCAGCAAACTCTGCCCCTAGAAGGGCAGGGGGGTTGGTGAGAGCTTGCTGACCACTTGTCCCAAAATTCCAAATGGCCCTCCCCTACCACTTGGTGTCCCACTCCCACAGGGCTGCAGTGGGATGACCTGGGCATTCGCCTTGCCTTCAAGTTAGAGCAAAGCCAGCTAGCACAGGACACCTTACCTTTGCTGCTCTGCCTGGGCCCCGCTGCCTGACCACCCTGCTCTGCCCCAGCCCACCGGACCACGTGGCTCCCCAGGCTCTAAACCACATGCCTCCAGCTCACCACGACCCTTCCCAGGGGCTAACAGGCTATGTCACCAACCCACCTCCCTTGGGTATAGCTCCAGCCATTTCCCAGGGACTTTCTGGAGGCTTTTCCAAAACCAACAGACAGAAACCAAAGATCTCTACGATCATTCCCCTTTAAGGTAGCTTCCCTGGGGGAGGACCAATGGCTTCCCAGCTCCTCCTTCTCAAGACTGAGTCTACACACTTTTACGAGGAGCTCAAAGCAACTCACCCGCCTGCAGGTCCTGGGTACAAACGTGAGTGTGTGTGTGTGTGTGTGTGTGTGTGTGTGAGCGTGCGCGTGTGTGTGCGTGCATGCGCACACATGTGCATGTGTGCATGCACACCAGTGTATGACTGAATGTGAATGCATGTATGGTGTATGAGTATATGAGAATGTGGATATGAGTGTGTGAATGAGTGTGGGGTTATGAACGAGCATGTGTGTGTGAATGTGAACATGTATGAGTGACTGACCAGGTGAGTGTGAACAAGTATGAGCACGAGCATGCATGGCAGTGAGAGTCAGGGGGCTGTGACTCTTGTGAGGTAAAGGAGTGTGTGAGTGAGTGTGTGCACCAGCATTCCGAAGTCCAGGTGAAGAGAAGAGTGACAAAGTACAGAGAACCAGGAGGGCCATGTCATCCTTACCATCCCTTCCCTCCTAGGGGCCTGAAGTGGCCGTCATCTGAGGCTGCAGCCCTACTCCAAAGGACAGGGACACCCCTCTGAGGAGGTGTGGAGCCCCTGTCCCCTCAGGCTCTATGTGACGCCGCACCAGGCCCAGAAGAGCCTCTCAAACACCAAGGACACGAAGGGCCCCCCGGCATCACAGAGAACATCTGGGCCAGTCCTCCCACCGCACAGACCACACAGCATGGCTGCAGGGAGCAGGGTCACGGTGAGCATCACTCGGAGGCTTCACTCTCACCCCCCGCAGCAGCGGGGAACAAGCAGGAATTGCCCGTCTGCCTGACACAACTCACCAGGAGAACAGAAACAGCTGGGGGTGGGGGGCAGCAGACCGAGGATGGACAGACACCAGGAGCTCTGAGCCACAGCTTCCAGCGCTCAGAGGTCTCCACGCCAAAAGGAAAGCAAACACTCACACACACCCAGGAGTTCGGATCTCGCCCCGTGTGCGGGATCTTCAGTGATCACATCCGACTGACCGCCGTGTCTGAGAAAAGCAGACTAAGGGCGTGCCGCAGAGGGCAGCGGCCCGGAGCTACGCCCCAGGAGGACCCGCAGGATGTCCAGCCCGCACACGTGCCAGGCTGGCTGTGCCGGGACGAGCTGACACGGAGCTCAGGACCCACTGTGAGGCAGAGCACCTGTGCGTCCCCAGAACGCCACCCAAGAGCAAAGAAGCACCACGGTGGAGATGGGGCCAGCAGCTGGTGTTATAGCCTGGGCCCGGGGATACCAGTCTGCAGCCTGCTTCCTACATAGCAGTACCCCAAATGAGGACGGGGCAGAGGAAGAGCATCCAGACCTTTCTTGGTGGACTGACATGCTCTCTGTGGTTGTGCTGAGGGCCCCAGCGCCTGCCTCTCTGAAATTCGGCCCTGATGGGAACGGATGCTCTGCCTCATGCCCCCAGGGAACAGGAGGCTCTGACAGGCATCAGGGCCCATGGGACAAGGCACTCACCTCCAGAACGAGCAGAGGGCAAGTGCTGAACCAAAACCCACAAGGCCCATGAATAAGTCAAAGGCTCACCCGCCACCCTTGCTAAGGCAGACCACCAGCAACTTACAAAGCTCAGGAGAAGGAGCCATCGGCCAGGTCACCACAAATGCCTCAGAGCAAGCCCAGGACCAAGCCAATCAAGTCACTGAACCAGCCAAACAACAAAACAGAGACAACTAAACCCTGAGCACACAAGTCGCTGTCTGAGAAATGACTGCTGTGTCTTGCCTGGCTCCCTGCAGGCCCCCTGCACCCCTGCCTGGGCCCCCCAGGGGCTCATGAGCTCCTCTGGCTTCTTCTCCCCCAGAGGCCATTGCTTCCTGCTTGGCTTGGAGGCAGGTCCTCTGCAAAGGCCTTCCTAGAAAACAGGTCATCACTCTTGGGACTGCCAAACAAGAACGGGGCTGCTATGATACACACTTACCCATGCACAAACACACTCACGCACAAGCAGACACATGCATTCCCTCACACCTGCACAACCACACTCCCGGCAAACACATCCACATGTGAACACTCACACTCAGCAGCGCAGACACACATCACCACGGATGTACCTGTGGCTGTTCCTGGTGCCCACAGAGAGGGAGGGAGGCCAGGTGGGTCCACACAGGAAACGGGAGGTGTGTGGTAGGGTGGGGTGGCACTGAAGACAAGCCAGCAGCTCCAGACAGACTCAGCCTGGCCTAGAGAGTGAGCTCCCAACAAAAAGAGAGCTTCTCTGTGCTCTTTCATGGCCACCCTGACAGCAGGCCAGACTTTCCTTCCCCCTTCCCACCCCTCTCTTCCCCCAGCAGTGACCTCCCCCAGCACACTGCAGCCTTTGGCCCTAGGCTATCCCAATCCTAAAGGCCCTAAGACCCCCAGATATGGTTCTGCAATGTGCCTTCAAACTCAGCTGAACCCTGGGATGACCAGCCACCCCAAGGAAGCATCAACCCTGCCTTTACTTCTTCTCATCAGCAAGGCTTCGCCTTGACCTCTGTCCCAATACTGAAACCTCATACATTTTGGGAAACTGCATTAAGTCTCTTGGGTTGCTGAAATACTACCTAGAATCTTTCAATTCACAAAATACATTCCTAAAAAGCTGTGTAGAAAATAGACATATTGAGGGGTGCCTGGGTGGCTCAGCTGGTTAAGCGTCCAACTCAGTTTGGGCATAGGTCATGATCTCACAGTTCGTGAGTTCACAAAGCCTGCTTGGGATTCTCTCTCTCCCTCTCTCTCTGCTCCTCCCTGTTCTCTCTCTCTCTCAAATTAAATAAACAAGCTTTTAAAAAATTATAAAACAAGCATATCAATACCTTACCCCTGACTCACAGTCCTTTCCTGGCGAGGAGCTCTGGAGCCACCCCAGACTGTTAAGGAGCTAATCAGAGCCGATCCCACCCATGATGGGAGGGCCATGCATTGCCACACCTTGCCCCCACTCAGACTGGGAGAAGGCATGGAGGCTCTTTCTGATGAACCCTCTTCCTGATGAACCCTCTGAGATGAGAGCCGTTCCCTTTCACCTCAGCTCCTGGGGGAGGCTGTGTGCTAAGAAGCTCCAGCCAACACAAGATGCTCCAAGGTAGCCCCGGGAAGGAGTGCCCTGCTGGGAGCCCAGCCGAGAAACCCTGCAGCAGACCCCCCACCCCCACCCTGCAGTCCACCCCCAAGAGCCTTACGCAGCAGCGATAGAGATGTTTGCAGCAGACATGGGGCTCACTTCAGCCACTTCTTTGGCCTTTTGCAGAGCAAGCTTCTGATTGGCTGCTTCTTCCATCTCCTCTTCATCCTGTTTGAACAGACAGAAATGTGCAGCTAACCTCTGAAGCTCTTCCTCCCATGGTCTCAAAGTCCCTCCTGCCCTCTAAACCTGTGGGCCAGCCAGCGGCCCCTACATGAGCATGAGCACAATCCATCCAGGCCCCAGCAATGAGCACCAATTCCACACAAGCTCTCTGGTATCCTATACCTGCTGCTCTGGGCCATGTTCCACAGGATTCCTGCCTCAGCACCCTCCTGCCACGGGCCAGTCCCAGGGTGCTCACCACTAGAGACCCCAGCCCTGCACCTGCACCCCGATGCCATACACGAGCTCAAGCCACAAGGACCCAGCCGCTACCTGCGCGCTTGTCCCACAGTATCTCAGACTTGGCACTGCCAAAACGCAAACCCATCTCACCTCTCCTCCCACCTGCGGCCCCTCCATCCCAGGGGCACCTGTCTGACTTGAATAAAGTCAGCCTCTGCCCCAGAACCGTGAGCAAGGACAAGGGGCAGGAGTCTGCACCCCGAGCCTAGGTCCTGGCTCAGCATCACCCACAGGAACTGTCGCCAGGAGTGGGTCAGACAGAGTTACCCCACAGCCTTTGAGCTTTCCTACTCGGACCCATCGGATCACATCTGTCTACCTGTCCCTAGCTGTGTCCCCCAACACATGGACAGCCACTTACAATGCCTGACAGTATCCTCTCCCCCACTGAGTTCTTGGGGAGGACCCCCATGGCTCTCTGACACATGTGTAGATACCCTGCACTGCCTCTAACCCCTCCATGGGAAAGGGAGTGGACTTCTGGGCAGACCCTCTGGCCCTGACCCCATGTCACTAGGCACAACCAACATGCTCTACTTCTAGGATCTCGATGAAAAGCTCTGGGCTGAGCCCATGAGCCCATGGAAAGAAACTAAGGGCTCCATGTTCTCCACTTACACTGCTGAGACCACCATTATTTCCCCAAAACCGCAATCCCAGGCCCACCTGGCTTCCGTGGAAGCTAGCATTCCCAGTGTGGCCGAAAACATCTTTAAATCTTCTCATAGAGGCCCCGAAATGGCAAAAACTAAAACCCTTCTTAGCTGCCTGCAGATTTCCCACCACAGTGAAGAGGTCTTCAAGCTTCAAGCCCCAGAGAGAAGGCAAAGCTCCATCTACCACAGAACACCCCTTTCGAGGTCCTTCTTCAAGTCAAGGACTCCTTCCTGGCTTACAGCCCTCTGGGGCAGAGAAGACAGGTTTTGTAAAAACTTCATAGAGTTCATTTCCACTTTGAAAAGAACGTAGTGCTGTAATACGTTTGTGGGAATGTAAAGGAAGGAGGGCCAGCCCAGGAAATGCCCCACAGCCTGACACAGACAGGCCTCCACCTGCCCCACCTCCCAAAGAAAGGGAATTCCTGAATATGGGCAGTTGGTCCACAGGAGCTATCTCATAGGGTGTGTCTGCATGGAGACAGGGCCCCGAGGACATCACTTCCTTGGTGTGTTCTCACCCATATTACAACCCAAAGAGATGGGTGAGAACTTCAAGCTCAAGCTCACCCCTGCCCCAAGACAGCTGGTGCCCAGCCACCAATGCTGCTGGGTACCCATTTCTTGCGGTTCCAGAAATCCTGACACCAAGATGTTCTGTGGACGCAGGGGATCCCCCACCGCCCGGAAGCCCAGCTGGGGGCCAGGAACAGTAAATCTCCAGCCACTCCTAGATGGCAAAGGCCAGTGTCAGCCCTGGCCAACAACAGAAATGAGAAGGCCAGTGGGACTTCCAGGTCCTCAGGAGGCAGCAACCAGAGCAGGGGAGGCGTCTATACCCACAGGCACCACCACGGCCCAGGCCTGGGCCTGGAGAAGAGGAAGTCTGAGAAGAAGCAAAGGAAGACACACTGAATAGGCCGGCCTCCACCTGGAGCACTCCTCCCAGAGAACAGGGGGCGGGCAGCAGGGCACCTGACACCCGCCAGAAGAACCGTGACATATTTGCACACACCCTTGCTGACCGCAGACATGTCCTGAACTTGCCTTCCTCAGGGAAGGCCCAAGTCAAGCTCAGCCCCGGAACAGAGATGATGTTGAGAGTCAGGATGTGCTAGATAGTGAGGGCTGCACTGTGTCAGACACACACAGGAGTGTGCACAGGGGTGAGCTCCAGCACACACACGTGTACATGGGCAGCTGCACAAGCAGGCCACAGGCTCCGCCAGGATGGCCGGCACACGGGGTTTCCGCAGCGGGGAGCACTGCCCGCGGGTGGCCTCGCTAGGCAGCAGGGTCCCCCACCTGGGAGCCAGGGCTGCACTGTCCATGGCTGTGAGGGTGAAGGTGACCAGGCAGGGGGCTGTGTCATCGGGAAGGAGACCACAGGGGAAGCCATGTACAATCACACCCCCTACCAGGCTCAGGGATAAGAGAGGGGTATCAGATGCTGCCCGCTGGGCAGAGCCAGGAGAAGACGCCGTCCTGCTGAGGCACAAATGAGCCGACAAGGGGGCAGCAGCTGTCCCTCCAGGCGCCAGCCAGGCCCGGCATCTGAGGGCAGAGCTGCCCGGCGACTGCCTGAGCTCAGCATGCACACTGCAGGCTGCCCGCAGGGGCCCCTCACCCCCCAGGGACGAGTGCGGTGACCCAGTGCAGTCTGCCCCGCACTCCAGGCCGCGTCTCCTGCTCCTCATAAACCCTCCTGCCTTTCTGGCCATTCTCTCCAGGTCGTGACTTCTTCAGGAGCTGCCCTTGTGCTCCTCTGCCTTCCTGGCATGTCATCTCTCATGCTTCCTCAGCACCACCCCCCACACCCAAGTGGCAGCCTAACTTCTGCCTGTCCAGGACCTTGAGGAGACCCCCGTGGGCAGTGGTCACATGGGCCCCTAACCCCGGCCTGGCCCTCGTCATGGCTTTCCGGACTCGTCCAGAGCCACACACCCTGCCCCGCCCACTCTACCCCCGCCCCTCCTGCGCTGCAGGCGGCGCCCCTACCCACGCACCTTGGTCAGCTCCTGAGCGTTGGCGAGGTTGTCCACAGCGATGGCCAGGAAGACATTCAGCAGAGTGTCTGGTTGGCTCCAGCTAAGGAAGGGAACCCTTCTACCCACCTCCCCCCAAATCTCCCACAGTCATGCTACAGCTTCCCCAGATCCTCAGTGACTACATATCCCTCAAGTCCCCGTGTTTCCCTGGCTCCTGTCGCCCTCAGACACGGACTAGCCGGGCTGCCAGGTCTGCCCATCCCTCCTTCACTCAATCTCACATCAGCTCCCCGTAATGTCCACACAAACCCCTTCCTCAGCCCAGTTCTTCAGGCCTGACTCTGCAGCCCCAAAACTCAGAGGCTGTGTTGGATGAATTTGGACTGCCTACTTCTCCTAAACTTCTGGCCGGTGTGAGAGACCTCCCAACCAACATCTCCTGCTTTCACAGGGGGCTCTGTCACCTTTGGGTCCCGTGAGCAGAGACCACCTAAGACAGATCATAAACATGCACATCTGGCCGTGACCAGTGCCTTCATTTCCCAGGCTAGGCTCAGGAACACCTGCTCAGTGTTGTTTCCTCCCTTCCGTTTTCAGAGTGAAGTCCTGGGACCCTCTGATTCAAGGCGCCCTCCTGCTAGAGTGGCAAAAACAATACCCAAGCCATGCTGATGGCAGACAACACCAGCCCCCCTACCCCACCTCAGTGAGCCCTTCCAGGAGCCCCCTGACAAGGCACTACTTCAATCCCCTTTTAGAAGTGAGCAAAGGCCACAGAGGGTAAGTAACCCACCTAGGATCCCACAGTCAGGAGGGGTCCAAATGGCACAGACATGGGCCTGTGGTGGGCAGCTACATCTCTGCACTGCCTTCCTCCAGTCTCTCCAGGTCAGGCCACTGACGTGAGTCACTTCAACTTTCCTGGGGCTAGAGCCGCCTTTTCCCACAAGCTCCTCCCCTGTGCACCTCAGAGCAGCACCTCCCCGGAACCATCCCTGCCTGCACTCTGAGCTGTGCCTCAGGCCCTCTCTGGGCCTCCCCTGGCTGCCCTCCCCAGCTAATTTCATTCCTCGCCACTGCTGACTTCTGGAGCCAGGCAACCCTTTGTCATGGGATGTCGAACGGCATCCCTGGCCTCTGCCCGCCCGATGCAGCAGCCCCTCACCTCAGCCATGACAACCAAACTGTCTCAGACACTGCCAGTGTCCTCTGGGGGCAAAGTCACCCCAGCCAGAGCCCTGTGTCTCTTAGACCTGAGCTCTTTCACCACAGGCCTGGGGATTCACCTCCCAGCCCCGGCTGCAGCTGCTCCCGCCAGTGCGAGGCTTGAGAAGCAGCCAGCTTTGTATGAAGCCGACAGCGATGACTGTTGCTGCTCAGGCCGCAGTCTGGCAGAGAGGCACCCCTGAGACTCAGGGGGGTGCCATGTGCCAGTGCACTGCCTCACTGGCAAGGCTGCTGAGGGCCCCAGCAGAGACCAGAGGACAGGACACCAAGGCCCCGGGCCACTTCCCCACACTAACCACAGCCATGGACAGTCTCAGCAGACTTCCCCTGGAGAGCAGCACTGAAGTCGTGCCCTGGCACCTGAGGCCCGTTGGCTACCACGAGGCCTGACCGCTGGCACACCTGGCCTGACCACGCAAGGTCAGAATTAGCTGTGAAGAGCGCCAGGCCACTGCTCAGTCTCTGGGGGTGTGGGCACCTCTTCTGGACAGTAGCTATTCCCCACCCCCACCCTCAACCCCCGCCATTTGAAGCCAACACTTGAGGCTCCTTCTCTCTCTGATAACCATGGCTGCCATTTCCGGCTCTCCTCTCAGCCAGCCCCCAGGTCCCACCTGTCTGCTAAACACTGAAACAAACACTGTCCCTCCTGAGCACCCGGGGTCCTCCTTCCCAGGCCTCATTCTCAGGCTCCCAGGGGGGCCGGGGCTCCCCACCCCGGGGTCCAGGACGTGAACCGTGAACTACACAGGGCTGACAGATGGTACAGCCCTGCTGGGTCTGTAGCAGGAGGGACGGTCTGATGGAGGCAGAGAGGGGTGAGGTCTGGAATCTTACAGGTCACAGGCCGGCATGACAGCCAGCAAGACAGGGGCAAGGAGGGGCCAACGGGGGGTCGTGTCCAGGTGTGTGTGCAGGGAGACAAGGCAGAGCCGGCAGGTCAGTCTGGGAGAAGACAGCTCACAGGTGTTTTTCGGCAGCTCAGATCTTTCTCCAGGCTCTACAGGATATTTACCGCAGCAGATCTCTAAGCGGGGTCCCCAGGCCGAAGTATTAACACCAGCACCCCCCGGGGAATGTGTAAAAATGCACATTTTGGGCTGGAAGCTGAGCTTTAACCCTCCGTGGGCGGCTCTGATACAGAAGACTTTGGGAACCTGAGTGCCCCTGCTTAGCCTGAATTTACTGCCCCAGCACTGGGGCCACATTCACGCCTCGCCTCTCCCGGCCCTGCCCCCTGCCTGCATCATGAGCCCAGCAGCCCCCTTCTCTCGGGTGACCTGCCTGAGTTAGAGCTGTCACCTGCGCTGGGCTCTCCCTGACCCCACAGACCCACCTCCCACACGAGGTCCTAAAACACATGCTCAACTGGCACCCACTACAGGAAACCTTGCCTTACATTTCTCTGCAGGAATGAGATTTTCAGCAGGGGAAGGTTTCTAAAAGCCCAGTACCAAAACTTAATTACCCAATTAAAGTGGGGGGTGGGGGGGGCACCTGGGTGGCTCAGTCGGTTGGGCTTCCGACTTCGGCTCAGGTCATGATCTCATGGTTCGTGGGTTCAAGCCCCACATTGGGCTCTGTGCTGACAGCTAGCTCAAGCCTGGAGCCTGTTTCAGATTCTGTGCCTCCCTCTCTCTCTGATCCTCCCCTGCTCATGCTGTCTCTATCTCTCTCTCAAAAATAAATAAAGTAAAATATTTAAAAATAAAATAAAATAAAATAAAAATAAAGTGGGGGGTGGGGTGGGCGGGGAACCTACTGCCCTGTGTTCAAAACCCATATCTTCCCACAGCATCCCTCCTGAGCCTGCCACTGACCATACCATCCCCCTCTGGACACTGTACGCACAACTCATGCTTCCATCCACCTTGGCCCACAGCCTCCAGATCTCCCAAGTTCAGGCTGCCTCGAGAATATTCACCGTCTAGACTTAAGCCAGCTCCCTGGAGGGAGAGGTGCCATCGTTCACACTCGATGAGAAGGCACCTCTCCTATTCACGGCCAACACACCCCACAGCCCCCAGTCTTCCCGGGCCCAGCAGACCAAGCACTAACACACTGCAAGAAGGATACAATTTCCAAACAGCGTCAGGACAATGAAATAAAAAGAGGAGAACATGCCTTTGCTGACTCCACCTTGCGATTCGATCCCGTGATACATCACTGCGTTCCAGTCCTCTCCCGTTAGGATCTGTGGAGGGACAGTACCACAAGGCATGCCTACATGGCCACCTCCACCCACACGCACATCCGTGTGCACACTCAGAGTCAAGATATGGTTGTGTATACACACACACACACAGGTTTCTGGATGATGGTGTTTCTGTAGGCCAAGGTGGCCCAGAGTCCTCCAGAAAAACTTGCAGAAAGACATGGCTGCTGAGGCCTCAAAAAATGAATATGCTCTAGCATTTCCAAAAATGGAAAGGGGGTGCCGACTGGAAGGAAAAGGAGAGCCAGGGCAAGGAAGAGAATTATAGCAATGAGCCGGAGAAATGAGACAGAGCTGAAGAGGCAGAACTCCCGACTCCCAGAACCACCTAGGCCGTGATTTTATAGATAGTGCGACAGTGGGTCCAGCTATGAGGGTAGCTAAATGCAATCCTTGCCCCATTGAGAAACATGTGTCTCTTTGCTACTATGTTTTCGGAAAAGTACAAGAGGATCAAGTAACAAGACATTCATGTGTCCACCCATAAAAATGGACACTGCTCAGGGCGCCTGGGTGGCTCCGTCCATTGAGCGTTCGACTCCAGCTCAGGTCACAATCTCACAGGTCATGAGTTCGAGCCCCACATCGGACCCTGTGCTGACAGCTCAGAGCCTGGAGCCTGTTTCAGATTCTGTGTCTCCCTCTCTCTCTGCCCCTCCCCCGCTCTTGCTCGCTCTCTCTCTCTCTCAAAAATAAACACTAAATTTGTTTTCAAAACATGGACGCTGCTCACTGTCCCACTGCCATCACTGCCCACAGTCACCCCGACAGGTGACCCCACTCTCAAACTTGGTGAGGAAGCGTGTCAGTAGGGTTCTACCCACACAACATGCCACGTATCTATAAACAAAATATGCCACATGTGTTTTAAACACACACAGAAAGGTTTCATACTACATACATCATTCTTCAACTTGCTATCTTCATCCATTATCGTACTTTGAAGTTTATCCCTGTAATACACAGGTCCACTTGCTCATGTCCCCTGCCGCGGTCCTTCAGCCTTCTACTAACGCGCCTCCTGACTGCACCTTAGCTGTTTCTAGGGTTTTGCTACGGACTTTCCCTGCAAGAAAGGTCTGCCTGAAACTGGAACGGACAGGCAGCTGGCCATGCCAGCCTCTGACTTTACAAGAGATTTCCAAATCTCTTACCCTAAATTACACCTGTGGTGGACACACCCCCATCTGAGGGGCGAGAGGGTGAGTTGACCAGGTGTGGTGTTCTGGGGCCTCCTCAGCTGTCTTGGGTTTCGGATGCCCCATCTTCCCCGCACGGGCTGTGACACTTGCGTGCCTGTCCTTGCACATACACGTCCTCTGTCTGCAGGAGCTACTGGAGGTATTCTCAGCTTGTTTCTGTTTTATGGCAAAGTGAGTGCGATGCAGCCAAATGTGTCACTTGTTCCGTGCTTTCTGCTGTTTGAACCTCAAGAAATTCCACTCCATCTGAAGGCCATGAAGAGAGTCTCCTCTATTTTCTTCAAATCATTTTTAAGTTTGGTTTTTCGCAGTTAGGTTTCTAACCCAGCTGGAGTTTGTGGTAACTGCTCTGCGTATGCATGGGGATGAAGAGCAAAGATTTTCCCCAGTGAAAAGCCATTTTTCGCAGACCCACTTTTTAAACTATTCTGTCCCCTTTGAGGTATAATGCCATCCCCCTCATATGACTGGCTTCCTACTTAGCCTGGTCATGTTTCTGGGTTCTCTGGTATTTTGTCTTTATGCCTCACGATACTCCCCGCTGTCGCTTTGTAAAAATGCAGGACGTGTGGCGAGACGAATCCGTCCTTCCCTAATTGTCCTGGCCATTCTTGGACATTGACTCTTCACACCATCAATATGCTGAATTCACACTGACGCTTCCACACTATCAATGTGCTGAATTCCAAGGCAGTCCTGTTGGAATTTGCATCAGGAGCACGATGAATTCACAGCTTGAACTAGGAGAACATATACCTTTGCCACTTTACGGCCTCCTCATTATAAACATACCCTCCACATAATCAGATCTACAGGCCCTTTAACAACAAGTTATAATTTCACCCTTAAAAGTCTTGCATAGTGTTTGTAGACTTCTGGGTGCCTTACAGCTTTCATTGCCTCTGTGAATGAAATCTTTCATTTTAATTAAATTTTCTAGTTGAATGATCAGATCATATAGGAAAGCTCTATTTTTGTGTTAATCTTGCATTCAGCAACACAAATGAATTTTACGCACTTGGTAGGAATCGCCTTATAAACTGCCACGCCCAGGGCAGGGAAAAAGCACTTACAGACACTTTTTCTTTAATGGTTATAAAATTATCCAGGTTTTTAACTTCTTCTTAAGCTAACTTAAATCTTTGATGTTTTCCTATAAAAGTACATGTTTCATCTTAGTTTCCAAATCTCTTACCATAATATTCTTTGGGATTTAAAAAAAAAAAATCTCTCCCTTTCCTGTAGTTACAGCTCATTTTTGGGCTATACTTTTTATTTGTGCTTTTTTTTCTTGATCAGTCTTGCTATAGTATTATCTACTTCATTAATCTTCTTGAGAACAAGCTTTTTATGATTTTGTTTTCTTGATGTTTTAGTTTTGTGCCACTAATGTCTGCTTATTAACCATTTTTTCCTGCTTTCATTTTTTTTTGTTTACTTTAATCTTTTATAGGTTTTTTTTTAGCTTACACAAAGGCAATTTATTAAGAGAAAACAATAATTTGAGGAATCCTGTTCACAGACAGCGACCCCCCTTCCTGAGGGTGCTATCAGAGGGGATGGGGGTGACATCCTCAATCCACCCAATCTTCATTCCTGAGCAGGCAAGCGCTCTGAGGACTGACTGGGCCCGAGGTCCAGGGGTCTTGGTTCATCTCCTCCTGTGGTCTGGAGTTTGATGTGGAGCAGTGAGGCCCAGCTCCTTGCACCTCTGGGCTACATCCTGGGCAGCCACATGGCAGTGTAGGGAGAGGACTCATCTCCATCAGCCTTTAGCTTCATCCATCAGTCACATGGCAAATGGTTTCCTTGCCAGAAAGATTGGTGATATGGACAAAAGTGTCATTAAAGGATGAAAAGATGTGGCACACACCGAACACATTTTCTCCTTTAGCTACCTGAGGTCCAAGGCTGATGACTTGTTCTTCCTTCTTTTCTTTCCCCTTGCAAGGTGCCATTTCAGCATATCTCCTCTAGACTTCACCACCAGAGACTCTTTTCTAGGTTAAGATGAGTAACTAGTTTATTTTTAGTCTTTATTTTTATAAAAAATATTTTTTTAGGGGCGCCTGGGTGTCTCAGTCAGTTAAGCGTCTAACTTCAGTTCAGGTCATGATCTCGTGGTTTGTGAGTTCAAGCTCCACATCGGGCTCTGTGCTGATGGCTTGGAGCCTGGGGCCTGCTTCAGATTCTAGGTCTCCCTCTCTCTCAGCTCCTCACCCACTCGTGCTTTGTCTCTCTCTCTTGCTCAAAACTAAACATTAAAAAATATTTGTTAACTTTTATTTATTTTTGAGACAGAGACAAAAAATTTTGCGGGGCTCAAACTCACTAACGGAGAGATCATGACCTGAGCCGAAGTTGGATGCTTAACTGACTGAGCCACCCAGGTGCCCCTCTTTTATTTGGTAATTGCATTTCAGATTATACATTTTCCTCTAAGTATTGCTTCAGCTTCATCCCATAAGTTTTGATATTATTATTTGTCTAAGTATTTCATACTGTCCATTGTTGATGTCTTCTTTAACTTGGTCCTTCAGCTTTCAAATATGGGGAAGATTTTAAATAACTTTTTACTAATGGTTTCTATTTTTTATTTTTTTATTTTTTTAAATGTTTTATTTATTTCTAGGAGAGAGAGAGAGAGAGAGACAGCGTGAGCAGGGGAGGGTCAGAGAGAGAGGGGGAGTCACAGACTGAAACAGGCTCCAGGCTCTGAGCCGGCAGTCAGCACAGAGCCTGACGCAGGGCTCGAACCCATGAACCGCGAGATCATGACCTAAGCGAAAGTCGGACGCTTAACCGACTAAGCCACCCAGGCGCCCTTCTATTTTTTAAATTATATCAAGAACGTACCCTATTGGATAACAATTCTTCAGTACCTGTAGGAATTTCCTGGGTGACCTAACATGTGGTCAATTTCCATGAATGCTCTATAATGACTGTTTTGTTTGCTATCTATCAGCTGGGTACAGGGTTCTTTCTATAGACGTCAGCTGACGTGTGTGTTTTTCATGAGCTCTTCCACATAATTTCTCATCTTTTGTCAGTCTCATCCTATGGTTTGAAAGAAATGTACTATAAACCTCTTATAAGATGTGGACTTTCATGTACTTCTGTCAGTTTCCGCTCCGTGTATTTTTAGGCCGTGTTGGTAGGTCAGGCAGATTCAGGATTGCTGTCTTCTTTTTGTCGTTATGTAATATACTTCTTTATTTTTACTAAACATTTTTTTTCCCCTTTAACTTCCATTTTGGCTGATGTTAATATTACACCAGCTTTCTTTTGGTTAATGTCTACTTGATTTGTGGAAGTTCTTGATATATTCTGGACACTAACCCTTTGATGGCTATTTGCTAATACTGTGAAAATGTCTTCTCCAAGTTTATGACTTAAAAATTTTTTTTCCAATGTTTATTTTTTGAGAGAGAGAGTGCGTGCGTGCGTGTGTGTGTGTGTGTGTGTGAGAGAGAGAGAGAGAGAGAACAGGGGAGGGGCAGAGAAAGAGAGGGAGACACAGAATCTGAAGCAGGCTTCAGACTCTGAGCTGTCATCACAGAACCCGAAGCAGGTCTTGAACTCACGAACCGTGAGATTATGACCTGAGCCAAAGTTGGATGCTTACCCGACTGAGCCACACAGGTGCCCCAAGTCTGTGACTTTTTAAAAACATTCTTATGGTATCTTTTGATGCACAGAAATTTCTATTTTAACAGTCAAATCTGTCAATCTCCTCCTTTATGATCTGTGCTTCCTTGATCTTAGGAAGGATTTCCCTGCCTTGAGTTAGTACCATTACACTCCTCTTTGTACTGCTAAAGTTTCAAATTTGCTTTTCACATTTATACCTTAATCTATCCAAACTGATTTCAAATCTGGTACAAAGTAGGAATCCAATCTCGTGTTTTGCTCTATGGATAACATAATTGTCCCACACTGTCAGCAATTACAACACTCAGGTTTTCTGTGTATATAAATATTCTGGCTGCAAATATTCTTTCTTCCTTGCCAATCCAGAGAAATTGTTTCATATTTTCTTGTTCTACTGCACTAAGACCACTGATAGCAGCATAATCTGCTAAGAGTTTTTACTTGAAAGGAGTGTTGGGTTTTATCATGTGATTCTATTTTTTAGCAAACGTGTATTTCAGACATACATAAAGAGTATACTGAATCCCCACATGCTCTTCACCCAACCTCAACAAGGAATCAATATCCCAATCTCGTTTCTCCTGTTCTCTCGCTCGGTGCCATGCTCTTGTTGGGTTCACGTGCTTTTTCTGATCACATAGGGCTTTTTTTAATCCTTCAGTCAGCTAAGATGATGAATTCCATTAATAGACTTTCTAATGCTAAGTCATCTTGCATTTCTAGGATTAACTCAAGTTGATCACGATGATAATTTGTAAGCAAATCTAGATTTGATTATTGTTTCTCTTCTGCCTCTGGGTTTGTGATCACAACCTATATATTTTTGATTATCCTTGTCTAGTTGTGTCACCAGCAAAACCCTCACTGTCCCCCCTTCTTCTTCACATGCATGTTAGCCTTAACTTTTCAGAGGCAAATAACAGGAAGAGCTCAGCCAGCCTAGACCAGCTTGAGCCCAATCACAAACTCCCACCTGTGCAGGTGGGCCATGCTATGTGAGGCAGTTGCCTTTACCTCTTTACCTTGTTTTAATGTGAAAATCTCCTTCTAAGGTGGAGTACAACCCTCACTAGCATAGCAGATGGTGTGTGTACAGGCCTGAGTGACTTATGCCCACCTCTGTATATGTGGACAAAGCTCCCCTTTCTGAATATTCATATCGAAGGAGCACACTCACCTCAGATGGGGAGTCACAGCTTTGTTAGTTATTCCCCATGATCTCCTTATTTACTGCAAATAAACGTTTTCCTTGTGTGGCAACTCCCCCTTCTGTGGTCTCTGCCTATAACTCACCATAGAGCACATTCACATTAATTTGGTTATGGTTTTTTATATCCAGGTTATTCTAGTCTCATAAGATGAGCTTGGTGCCAACCTTTTTATCTTCTTTGGAGTCATGTGTATAAAATTGGAATAATATCTTTCTTAAATATTTAGTAGAATTCACTCATAAAATTAGCAGAACATGGTGGCTTAGAGGGGGTAGGTTTTTAATTATTCAATTTCTGAAACAGTTAAGATTTTTAAATTCTTCTTGGGTGAGTATAATGTTCTCTTTTTCTTCTAAATCATTGGCTTTACTAAATGTACACACGTCTGCAGTGCTTTCGGCAATCGGGGGGTTAGTGACTCTCCATATTAGCATCTGAACGTGTCCAGGGCTAGCTCATGCTTGAACCTCGTCTCTCCGGGTTGGCATTCCAGGGTGACAGGGGCTGTCCCCCAGTATTTCAAACTTACCCCCCCAACCCTCTGCCATCAGGCTGTCCTTCTCCTGTAGGAAATCTCTTTCTACAGTTGTTGTTGTTGTTTTTATTTTTATTTATTTCTAGGATAGAGAGAGACAGCGTGAGCAGGGAGGGTCAGAGAGAGAGGGAGACACAGACTCTGAAACAGGCTCCAGGCTCTGAGCTGGCAGTCAGCACAGAGCCCGACGCGGGGCTTGAACCCACGAACCGTGAGATCATGACCTAAGCGAAAGTCGGACGCTTAACCGACTAAGCCACCCAGGCGCCCCTCTACAGTTGTTTTTAAGATTTCCTCTTTAACACAACATGCCTAGATCTAGCATCGCCACTGCTCACCCTGAGCAGCTCCCTGAGCACGCACGCTCTAGGACTCAGCAGGTCTCACCCAACGTGGTGCAGTTGACTCGGCTCCTCCTCAGCTTCCACTGCACCCATCCTTTCTTGGGTCATATCCAGTGTATAGTTTACCTTTGTTTGTTTGTTTGTTTTTTAATTTAAATAGCTATATTTTGCATTTCTAGGATTTCTGCTTAGTTCTTTTTCATATTGACCTATTCTTGGTTCTTAGGTACTTTTCTTTTGTAATTTTGTGTCATATATTACGAGTTCTTCCCCTAACACTCTATAGCTCTCAAGCACATTGGGTGCAAAGTCACCTGGATTTCTTCTGTTATTCCTGTTTCTTTAGGAGTGAGCTCACCTTCCAACTGCACATGTTGTCAGCCCTCTTCTGTGAGGTCAGCTTCACCAGGGTCAGCCTTACCAGGGTGCAGTCTGCAGGTTCACCATAAGGCCATGTGCTCTTCCTGTGCCCCCTGCCCTATTCAGAAGCAGGAGCTCCTATCTTAGGGTCTCAGGTCCCCATCCAGCCCCATCCATGGAAGATATGGCTCTGGCCTGGCCCGTCGTCTGCCCTTGAGATCTTCTCAGCCTCCTCCGGCCATAATTGCCTTCTCTCAGCTCTGTTCCTCTGCTCCTCAGAGGGCCACATGCCTTCCCCAGTGCCAGGCCAGGCAGGCCCCACATGGGTGCTTCTGACACCGAGCCCACCTGCCTTGCACAGACCACATTCCATGTGCCCGAGGCTCTGCGTCTCTCATCACTGTTCGGTTTCTGGCCCACAGTTTGTTTTCTGCGTGGCTGGGTCCTTTTAATTTCTATGTGTATTTATTAGATACTTATTGCCGTATTCAGAGGCAAAGGGGTCTAAGGTCTAAACCAGAGCCATCTTTTCCCCTCGCTTTGACCTCCTCTTCCCCCTCTGTCCTATACCAGCACCATGAACCTCATTGGGCTCCTTTCTTGCAACAAACAGAACAAAGCAGAGCCCCGTCGATCATATCACCTCCCTGCCTCGGGAGCCCCTGGGACACCTCCTGCTAGCCACAGCCTCTGGGCCTGGCAAGGAAGGCCCATCCAGCCTGGCCTCCATCAGCCCCAGTCCTTCTGCCACAAACCCTGTGCCTTCACTGCTCCAGACTCCACTCGCCTTCCTGCACTGTGTCTGGAGCACACTCCTGCCGATTCCCCTTGCCTGACTTTTGAGAGCTCACTGAGCAGCCCTCGTGACCCACAGGAGGAAGGTGCTCCTTCCCTTCGCTGAGCAGACTGCATGCACAGGAAAGGTCATGGCCACCCTCTGCTAGAGGCCCTAATCTGGTAGCCCCAGAGACCAAGGGGCCAAGCTGAGTCCCTGGCCTGTGCACACACGGCCTTTTGGGCTTCCCTAAGAGTCATCATGGACAAAACAATAACCCACCTCATCCTGCTCAATCGCAGGTATGGCGTCCAAAGTTTCATAAGACAGAAACATTTGGCATTATCCTATCGGTGAGGTCGGTTGTGGGGGGCATCAGGGCTGCTACGGCCCTGCAAGGGGCAAAGTGCTAAATGCTTCAAAAGGGAACCCTCCAAGAGGGCAGAGATCACCTGAGTTGACAAGGTTTGCATCACAGAGGACATGGGCCAAGAGCCTGAGTGTCCCAAGGAGCCGTGGTGAGCATGTTTTCCAGACAAAAAAAGAACAAAAGGGCCACTGGACCTGACATACAGGAGGGAGAAGCTTAGGTAGCGCTTTGTTGTTTTATTCTCAAAGGGTCAAAGACAGCTATGACTCCAGGTTCTAGGGGCTGAGACATAAGTTGGTGGCTTGAAGTCCAATGGCCACTAGACAGTTGGGTCCCCCCAGGGAGCTACACATGCTTGTTGGGACAGCATCACAGCACCCAGCTTCCCTCCAGAACTAGGTCCTAGACCTGGTAGCAGGGCCCCAGGGACTGGAGGCCTACATGCTGGAGACCTTCCTATGCTCATCTCCCACTTGTTCTCTTCTGTTTTCTGGAAAGTTCTGTCTAAAATGTTGGCTGTCCAGGTTGTGCTGAGGCACTAGCAAGGTGCTGACAGGGAAGGCTGCCTTCCCAGCACCTAGAGAGCCAAGCGAACCAGGAGCTTTACCTGGAAGACGGTAAGGATGGCCGCCGGGAAGGTGTCAAAGTTGGTTGTCGGGGTCTCATCTTGAAAGTTGAACCTGAGGAAAATAAGAAATCTTGGGAGGAGGCGGCACCACCAGGACCCAGGGGCACGCGCATGCGACGCTGCCCCAGGCTGTGGGGGGCCGTGTGCTTGGCGCCGCTGCCCTCCCGGGGGACCTCCAGGTGGAAGAGAGGTGGAGGGGCCTGGGCAGCGCACTGGCTCCGGGCTCTGCCTCCCCCGCCCGGCCCCCAGCTTCAGACGCGCCCGAGGGCCCACTTACTGCCCTCCGAACAGCTGCATGCCCAGCAGAGCGAAGACCACGATGAACAGGAAGAGCAGGAAAAGGAGGCTGATGATAGACCTCATGGAGTTGAGCAGAGACACCACCAGGTTCCGCAGCGAGCTCCAGTACCTGCTGGGGCGGGCGGGCTCAGCGTGCACCTGGCCACACCCACTGGGGCCCGAGGCTCAGGCCGGCGCCCCGCTCTCGACCCCCACTGTCACACCCGTGGCTCCCGGGACCCTCTCACCCCAAGGGCCCCACACCGGGACGGGCGGGGAGAGTTCTTGCCCAGAGTTCCCGATTCCCCCACCAGGCGCTCCAGACGGACGGGGGAGTCCCCAGCGTCCAGGGCTGGACTCGCCCTTGTCTCCCAAAGCTGCCCTTGCTACTTTGCCCGGCAGAATGGTGCATAACCTCTCTCCACCCCTCAGCACCCGAGCAGCCTCCAGATGCCTCCGCTCAGACCACGAGTGGAGAATGAGCCGCACCAGACGACGATCGGCCCAGCGGCCCTCACCGAGCAGGTCTTCAGCGCCGTGACGGGCGGTGCAAACCCAGCGTGAATGTCCCCCTCACCAAGGGCCTGGGACACAGCGTGGCGTAGGCGGACAGCACTGCAAGACCATCTCCTGGCATCCCACAGTGACCACCCCTCCGCCGCACTCTTCAAATGCTCCTGGAGGCCAGAGACTGTGTCCCTTTCATTCAGCTGGATCCAGGCACACAGGCCCCACTGAAGTCTGCTGGTGGCCTGGCTGTTGACAGCTCACTCACTGAGTGACTGGGGCTCCCAACCCCACGCCTGTGTCTGCAGAGCTCCTCCCTAGGAGAGGCCAGGACACACGGCTGCCACATGGCTCTGTGTCTCTGCACATGCTGTTCTATCACCCTGGAAAGGTGGGGGGGCACCTGTGCTCACCCTGCCACTGGGCGTCCCTGGGCCCTCAAAGCCTGTCCTCCCTGGTGCCAATGTCACAGAGTCTCACCTGTCTTTCATGGATTCTCTTATAAGGGACTCAAGGGTTCGTGGAAGATGGGCTGGAAGACTCTGGAAAAGCCAGCCCACCTCGGGATAGGGGCCACCTGGTTTCTGGAAGGAGCCCCTAAGACACCAAGCCCGGCAGCTAAGGTGAAGACAGCCTCTGCAGTCACCTCCCAGTGTGATGTGCTAGCATCGCACATGGAAGTGACGGAGGATGGACAGCAGACGGCAGGAGGCATCCAGCAGCGTTTGTGCAGCCAGCGAGGCCAAACTCTTGCCCAAAACTCTCCTGCAGTGACACCATCATGTCTTCAAATGGTCTTAGGTTTGGATTTAAAACAAACTGGAAAAGACCAAAAGAACTCCCATCTACCCTGAGGAGATCAGTGAGGCTCTGAGAGGTCACTGGAGGGGTGACCTGGAGCCCAGGCTGCAGGGGACACCGCACGGAAACCTGTGCTGGAGCACGTGTGGGCTACCTGCTCACGGCACAGGAGTCCAAAAACTCTGGGCAGGTGAGGCCCCTGACGTGCTGTGTGGCACAGCAGCCTGCACTGCTGGAAAGACAGCTGTGGGTGAGGCGTTCCCCCTCCTCCCACCACTAGAACCCTGGCCCAGCACTCAGTAACTGCATCACACCTCTACACGGACCTCACCCCCTCATGGCAGAATGGAGCAAGCCTTTACCAGGGTTACGTAAAGAACCAAGTGGAACGGAACTGAAAACACAAGCCTGTCACTGTCCTCTCGCCACGGCCTAAACGGGGCCGCGTCAGGCACAGGGAGACAGCAGGCCTGTGGGAACCAGGTGTTTAGGTTGGAAGGTCAAAGTCAGCTGAGGTTTCCCTCCCTCTCTGGTGCCTTCAGGGAAGGTGGGTAGATTTGGGGCTGGGATGATAAAAAATAAAAAAACTTCCATCTGATAGCTTTTATTTCCTGTATTAACTGGGAAGCAAAGCAATACTTTGAAGGTTGAAAGATGGGACTGCTGGTTTCAAAAGAGGGGACCGCATGAAACTGTGGGGAGCAGCAAACGAGGGACCCTGCCAGCAAGTCGGGAACAACCCTGGGGAGAGACGGGCCCCCAGGGCCAAGACAAAGCCATGCTGGGAGTGTGTTTTATAAGCATCTTTTGTATTTAAACCATTATTATAAGCACAGAAAGAGGTTCCAGACAGCTGAGTTCAAGGCCAGCACCATGAATCCCTAGGAACAAGCACGCTGTGTTGACCAGTCTCACATGAGACCTGCATTCCCCGTCGCCCCTCCACCCAGGAGCACACAGGTGACATACTTTGTGACTTTGAAGATCCGCAGCAACCGGAGTGCGCGCAGCACGCTGATCCCGAAGGAGGTTCCCGGCTTGATGGCAGCCCAGACCACTTCAAAGATGCTCCCCACAATGACCTGCAGTGTAGACGGGGTCAGCCTCAGGCGCACGCACACGAGTCCCACACGTGTGCATCTGCAGGCAAGCGTCCTGGCGTGTGTACAGCAGGATCACTCCCAGCACCCGCAGCACAAGGCACACGCCTCACCCTGAGCTCCTGCAGCCCTTGGGGGGCACCCACCAGTCCTGGTGCTCACCTGCGCCCCAACATGACCACCCCGGACATACCAAGGGGACACGGGATGTGGAGTGTGGGCAGGCCTCCTGGTTTCCAGACCACCTGCAAGCCAGGTCGGCCTAACGCCAACAGTCTCCCAGGGCACTGCGAAACTGCTGACTGTGCCAGGACCAAGGCCCTGAGGCATGGCTGGAGCCTCTTGTACAGTCTGACCCTGGCCCGTTAACCCGACGTCTGGTCCGGCAGGCGCACCCGCTGTGGGCCATCCCACGTGCACGGCCATCCGCATACTTCTCCACCTTGAACACAAAGGCATGGTTCCGAGAGCCTCTGGCGCCCCGCCCACTCCCGGGAAGCCCGAGAGCTGCACGCCTCTTTTTACCCTGGCAGCACGACGGCGGGACAAGCCTGCCACCGCCTGCTGCTGGCAACCTGAGCGCCTCCGCCAATTCACAGCACACACGCAGCGCCCAGACGTTTGTCGGGGGCTGGTGAGCACCGTTTCTTAAATCTACTCTCCTATTGCTAGTCTTCCAGCAGCTCCGTCTTCAGAACGTGTTCCCGTCTGTTCATGATGCAGGTGTCCCCTGAGATGGCCCACGGCGACTTCTCACCTCTTGATGTCTCCCCCCTCCTTGAATAGCCTTGTCCCTGAAGGGCGGGTTGGACCTAGTGACTCACTTCTAGCAAACAGAATGTGACAGAAGTGATGGGCTGTCAACTCTGAGATTAGGTTACAAGGAAGGGCTTCCTTCGTGCTCTCGGCTCTGCTGTGGGTCACCAACTGCCATGTTGTGGGGCATGAGGAGAGGCCCCTGTGACCAGGAACTGAGGCCTGTCAGCTATGAGCAAGGGCTTAGGCATGAGCTCCCCGCCCCCAAGAGCCTGTGGTGACTGCAGTCTCGTGGAGGAATGACAGTTGGGGGCCCCCCAGGAAAGTGGCTGACTCCTGACCCACCAAAATGAGAGACAAGTGTTTGTTTTTTAAGCCACTAAGCTTTGGGGTGATTTGTTACACATGAAGAAAAACCAATACACATTTTGGAGACAGAAGTGGAGCACTCTTCAATAACCCTGCAATGTAGGAGTGGTTTTGGAGCCAGAGAATGGGCACCGAGCAGCACGTCAGCGAGAGCCTGCAGTGCCCTCAACACACTATTTGTGGATCCTGGATAGTGAGGGAGTGTGAACGCTTCACATAAGGGTCTGGGGGACAGCGAGGACATTGGCAAGAAACTAAAGGGAGCGCGGTTGTGCATGGGCAGAAGTTCAGCCGCACTGCTGCCCGCAGTTATGTGAAAAGACAAAAGCATGCTGCACAAACCGGCAGGCCTCTGAGACTTCCAAGCAGAGTCTGCGGGTTCTGCCAGGGTCTCCCTGCTACACAGTCAGGGTGGGAAGAGGGAGACGCACAGGGAAGTGCTATCATACAGGACCCGACAGCTCTGGAAATGCTCAGCCTCTCCAGACAGCAAACAGTGCCACATTAGGAAATGGCAAAGTCCAAAGAAAAAGCCAGGGCAGGGGCACAACTGTGACACTGTGGGAGCCCGAGAGCCCTGTTCCGTCCCACGTTCTAGCCCCACAGAGACAGAGGTGTGCCTCACAAGTCAGCCCGTTGAGCAGCAAGTCCTCCGGGGCACAAACGTGCACCTGCCTCAGTCCGCTCAGCACCAGCACCCAGCAGGGAAGGGCCGATCGCTAGTGTAGGTACCGCTTTTGTCAAACGGAGTGAATTCCGGGAAGACTCACAACATACCCACCGTGCTCTGAAAAGACTTAGTTATGCAGGAACGTCACCAGCTTGGGTTGAAAGAGACAGAGACAGTACAAGACAAAAAATAGGCCTTTGGATTCCCAAAATTCTATTGGTAGGAAGCCGGCTGAGAGAACTGTCTAGCTGAAAACATATGTTAGCTTTCCTGGAACAAGAAAGGTGACACAGAGGCTAAAATCAAAAGCCCAAGGAGCTTTCTAGGCCTTAAGAGCTAATCCTGGTATTTCCAACTTTTCCCAACTGGATTCCAGAACTTCTATGGGCCAGGACTCCTTGTGCATCCTGCTGTCCCCTCTGAACAGGACTGTCTACAGCAGGTACCCATGCTCATCCCATCACCAGGTGGGTGATATCTTGTCTCTTTAGTTCACCACGTCCATGGGTGGAGAGGGACTGAGCAGCTGTCCTTGAAGAGCCTGGACTATATCCTGGCCTGATTTGGATGACGAGGCCCTGGACTCCGAGCTGATGCTACGATGGATGTGGCTGGGGAAGCAGAAGGAGGTGGGTGCATTTCACACTGACAAGGATAGGAATCACTCTGGGCCAGAGGGTCGACTGCGGCAGGGAGCCTCTAAGACGGCCCCCAGTGACACTTGCCTCCTGGGTTTCACGCCCCTGGGCAATATACCCCCGCCCCCCTGTTAAACACGGCCTGGGCCAAGTGACCCGCTTCTAACAAACAGAATAAAGCAAAACTGATGGGTCATCTCTTGGAGACTGGGCTTCTGTGTCTCTGTCTTGGGTTCTCTCAGTCTCTCTCTCTCAGGTCACAAGCTGCCATGTCATCAGGACACACACGCAGAGTCAGGAGATGCCCATGTGACTGAGATTGAGGCCTGCCACCAGCCATGTGAGTGAGCTTGGAGGCTGGTCATCCAAGTCCTGTCCTATCAACAGCCATGTGATGAGCCTGAAAGCAAATTCTCCAGTCCTTATCCAGGCTTGAAATAACGGCATCCGGCTGTCAGTGTGACTGTGACCTCCTTGAGAGACCCTGGCCACAGGCACTCAGTTGAGTCAAGCCTGGACTCCTGATCTAGAAAACTATGAGACAGTAGACATACTCTATGCTGCTAAACTTTGGAATAATTTGTTAGCTTATGTGTAAGTTAGTCCCATGTCCTGGGATCCAGTTAGTTCAAACAGGAAGACACAAATACGTTTCCAAGTTTAAGGACAAGTTTAAGGATTCTCTGAAATCACTTCAGCTCTTTGGGTGTCCTCTGGCCTATGTGAACTACAGCCCTTCCTTGTAACTCAGACGGCAAAGGACAAGAAGGCGTGCCTCACGGACGCAGGTGTCCGTGTCTCAGAGCACGCCCTGGGCAGCCACCGCCCCCACTTCCCCACAGAGATCAGGCAGCCTTGCGTGGCATAAACCCGCTGGTCCAGGGCCAGAACTCCTGGGTCCACACTGCCTCCCCCACGAAGTAGCTGGGCAGCCTTGGGCCAATCACACCACATCTCCAGTTACTCATCTACAAAGTGGGAGTCCTTGCGAGGATTTAACAAAGCCATGGACACAATGTTCTGTCAACTCCACGGACAGAAAAAGTCAAAGTCACACTGAATTTTCAAGTTGAAGTTTTACTTCTGCCTACGTTCAGGCTCCCCCCGGCTCCTGAGAACTCTGCAGAGGTGCGAGCGTGCCTTGGGGAGGGCACTGCCGCATCTCACTGAACGCCTCTAGTGGGTCAGAACGCGTCTCTGGGCTCTGCACTCAGCACCAGAGAGGTGTTCACATACTCTGCTGGCCTGGGAAGGCCTGTGCCACTTCCTGGGCTCTGTCCCAGTGAGTTCTGGGGACACCTGCCTTCGAGGCTTCCCTGACCTCCAGAGGTTGGTGAAGGGACCCAGGCTAGGCCCACGCCCCCTTCCCCCCCCCCCGCAGCCCCACAAGGAGGGCTGGACCATCGCGGCCTGTCAGTCCTCCCCTGAACCATGTGCCAAGCTGCCCGCAGCCAGATCTGCAGGACAGGAAAGGATCAGGGTCACAGCCGCCTTGAGCTCTGCTGGGGACACTGAGACCCCCACGGGGCAGCAGCACATTTAAAAGATTATTGTGCCAGGTATACAGCAGGTCACAGCCCCTTCAGTGATCGTAAGATTCTACAGACAGGGTCAGGGGAGCAGAGTGGGATGTCCTGCAGATGGGGAATAGCCTGTGGCTGGAACCCCCACAAGTCTGGGCCTGAACAGGACAGGCCTCCCCTCTGTCAAAGGCCTCTCCCGGTCTATAGGATGACTTTCTTTCTTTCTTTTTTTTTTTTTAATATTTTTATTTTTTATTTCTAGGGGAGAGAGAGAGAGAGAGAGAGACAGCGTGAGCAGGGGACGGTCAGAGAGAGAGGGAGACACAGACTCTGAGATAAGCTCCAGGCTCTGAGCTGGCAGTCAGCACAGAGCCCGACGCGGTGCCCGAACCCACGAACCGTGAGATCATGACCTGAGCTGAAGTCAGACGCTTAACCGACTGAGCCACCCAGGCGCCCCTATAGGAAGACTTTCTGACACACACAGGGTCACAGTACCCTCGACCACCTGGGCCCTGCTGCAGAGACGCCTGCTTACACTGGGTACAGCTTAGTGCGAGGGGGCTATGTGCACTCTCAAGCCAGGACACAGCTAGACCTTCCTGGAGCCCTAGCCAGCATCTCTGGTGAGGATCTTACTCACCCCAAAGTCGAAGCAGTTGAATGAGGACCGGAAGTAGCTTCTGGGCCCCAGGCCATACATCTTCAGGGACATCTCTGTGAGGAAGAGACCCAGGAAAACAAACTCTGCAAAGTCTAGGAGAAGCCGGAGAAGAGGGGGATTAGCTCTCAGCCTCCTCCCACCTGGCTCCAGCCCAGACTGGAGGACAAGACCTCTGGGCCTTTCCAGGATTGAGCCCTTCAGGCCTGGTCTGTGGCCCCTCAGCTCGGAAATCTCAGCCCAAGGCAGGAATAACGAATGGATTGGGACTGGAAGGGGCACAAAGAGATGCTTCTTTCACTTTGAATTATAACGCGTGCCCAGTGCCTGCAGCACGGGAAGACAGCCTCCACAGGAGAGCTCCCGGGATGCAGCTCAGGAGTAAGTTCTAGGGGCATACAGTACTCCCCAGAGGGTGCCCATGGAGAAGCTGGATGCCTTCAGGCTTGCTGCCCACCACATGTTCTAATCACAGTGGAGCCCCTCAGCCTCCTCATCAGAATCGCCCTGTCTTTCCGGGAGGACTTCCCCGATGCCCTCCTCAAGCCCCCTGCATCACCATATTTGGTTTTAACTTTGTTCATGTGTTCACCTACCACCTGAGGATCCCCAGGGCCTGGCCAGCATGAGGCTCCCAGGAGGTACCAATGCTTGCTGGGGGTCTGGAGGGCGTCACCCCCTCACCCTCTGAGTGACACAGAGGCTCCCATGGGTGGCTGCACCTTCCTGCAGGCTGAGCCCCACAGCGGCAGCAGCAAGCAGGGCCTGCCTTGGCCCAGGAGTCCCGCCACCAGCTCTGCTGACCCTCAAGGGCCACACTGGAAGTGGGGGCCATGCTGAGAATCCCAGGCACACAGAAAAGACACAACCCCTAACCCAACCTGAGCAATAGGCAGTGCCAGAGCAATAAACAACAGGCAGCCCAGAAGCTGTGCGAAGCCACAGACACAAGACACAGCCGGGCTCTGCCACTGGCCAAGCCAGTAATTCCAGATGGCAGAACAAGGTCACTGTCTTTGATCTTCCTCCCCAAGTGCTGAGCTGAAATCAGCTCATAATTCTGTATGGTGGCCCAAAGGCACCGTGGCCTCTGGCCCCACAGCAGCAGGGGCCAGGAAAGCAGCTCAGATCTCAAGGCAGAGCCTGCCCCAGATGGTCCAGCCATGAGCAGGAGTGGAGGAGAAGCTTCAGAGAGTCCAGTCACTGGAAAGGGACCAGCTCAGCATTCCTGGGAACTCTCGCATCCAGACTGGTTGGGAGACTGGAGCTCAAGCAGCTCTTGATAAAGCAGACAATAGAAGAGGGGACCACACACCTCCTGCCAATCCTACAGGTACTGACATCTGCTCTCCTCCACAGCTCTCCACCCAGTGCTACACCATACAGACCCAGCTGCCTCAGTCAGGGCCAGATCTGCAGCAGCTCAGGCTCTGGATGAGCAGAGATACCGCCCCCACTGCTCACAGAGAAACATGCAATGGTCTGCATGGCCCAAGGTCTCAGGTAGGGAACCACTGTCAATGTATGGCTTGAGTACCTGGATAAGCAGCCCCTGGCAGCAACTCACCACAAGAACCCTGACCTCTGAAGCCAGCCAAAAAATCACTAAGGCACCCACGCCGGGCATGGGATGGGTAATGAGAAGCCAACGCTGATTCCCTGGAGAAGCCAAGAAACCGATATCACAGGCATGGGTGCCTGCTGACCTAAACAGAAGAAACCACCCCAGCCAGGCCTAAATGACTGCTGCCTGGTCCTGGCTGTGCAGAGTGGCAGGTGTGAGGGGTGGTAGGGAAGCTACACCTTACACCCAAGTCCAGCTCAGAATGCCCCGGCAACCTGCAAAGATCCAAAGCTCCTGGCTACCGAGCCCCAGAGCCCCTCCACATGAGGTCACAAAGGCACCTGCCCCTGCCCTGTGGGGCACCCCTCACCGAAAGACGTCAGGTCCCTGAGGAAGAGGCCAAAGAGATGGGACTTCCAGCTGCCCACACTACAGACCTTGGAGCTACAGCCGCCAGGGCACTGATCTTGCTCCCAGGAGACCCAAGTGAGGGCGCTGCAAGGAAATAGCATAGAAGCTGCCAATGGTGGGGCTTTCTGGGAGAAAGGGAGCCCCTGGACACAGAAACCCCCAGTGTCCCCTGCCTGCCCTTTCACTCTCTTGAGGAACAGACCCCCTTGACTTCATATGTTCAGCTGCTCCCCTGAGGCCAAGAAAAGGTGTTCAGTCACTCACTCAGGAATCATTCATTCAACTAACAGGCACTGGGGCTGCTCTGAGCTTGCAGAGGAGACAGAGTTGACTCCTCTCTCCAGGAGTTTATACCCCAAAGGGGAGCAGATGTCAGGAATTTAAAGTGTTCTGTGTCATGATAAAAGGACCGTGTGCTGGGGAAACAGAGGGACAGGGGAGAGGTAGGTCAAGCCTGTCTCATGAGACCAGGGGGCTCACAGGGTGACAAAGCCCAACAGGCAGCTGCAGAGCTGAGCATGCAGACTTCTTTCCCTCCTCACCATTCAAGCCTCAGTCTTGGGGGTTCTGGTGGAGCACTGGGGGTGGCTCCTGGGTGGACCGATGGACCGACAGCCAAAGTGCACAGAACCCACACTCTTCAGGGTAGCTCGTCCCAGGCCAGCTCCAATGAAGCTAGTCGTGGTGGGGACCCCCTCTACCCCTGCACTGCCTTTGCCTCTTGCAAAGCCTGCCCTACCCGGCTGGGTCAGCCTTCCTTAGCTCCAGCCCAGCTGCCAAGAACAGAGTACAGGGCACTGAGCAGAGGTGTGCAGACCTAGCATATACCCACTTCTCCCACCAGCCATTTTCCCTAGGTAATGCCAAGGGACGCAGAAATTCCCAGGGAGCCACAGAGAACACAGAGCAACAAGGGGGAAGATTCTTGGCCAGGGATGCCTGTGGCCTGGGCCAGCACCTGGACACTCTCAGCCCCGTGCTCCTGCACACCAGATATGCGACCAGGCCATGATGGCTGCCTCCTGCCCACTTGAGTGGCAAATCCCACAACACTGACTAGGCACCACCAGCTTCTTCCATGGGAAAGAAAGGCCTGGCTGGGGAACCCCAGGGAACAGCTGCACCACTGGCGAAGTTGAAGAAGCCCTGTCTCCCTGGTCCCTACCCAACCCCCAACAGTGAGGAAATAAAAGTAAGAAAAGGAACAGAGAGAGAGAATCTTAAGCAGACTCCATACTCAGCACAGAGCCCAACTTGGGGCTCAGTCTCACAACCGTGAGATCATGACCTGAGCCAAAATCAAGAGTCCGATGCTTAACCGACTGAGCCCCCCAGGCACCTCCACAAACTGCTTCTGAACTTCACTCCCCCGGGGACCTAGACCAGACCGTCTTCTAGAAGCTCCAGGGGCCCCATCACACAACAGGAGAGTTCAGTACAAGTCTGGGAAACTGTTGCCCAGCGTCCCACCCACAGCCACCCCTGCCCATATTTTCAAGTGGTCTGTGGAGCCATCAGAGTCTAGAGCTCATAAGAACCCTTCCAGGGCTGCCCAAGCTCCTGCTTCAAACTGACCAGGCTCAGTGGTCTGAAAGAGGGGAGTGTGGCTGGTTCACCGGGGGCCAGGGTCTGGATCCAGGAGGGTTCTTCTCTGGAAGAAAGACGGTGGTCTTGCCACCTCAGGGTGGCATCAGGCACACAGGGCTCCGTGGCCCTTGTGGAAGTGGCAGACAGGCCCTGTGTCTAGATCAGCCCCAGGTGCCAGGCCGAGTGAGCGCCAGGGAGCAGGAAGGCGGAGGCTCTAACCGGAAGACAGACACCTCTAGTGAGTCTTCATCTTTAGAGCCCTCGTGAGGTGGGACTACAGACCGAGACTCACCTCCCCGTGGCCCGCAGAGCCCTAGGGTAAGAAGGGTTGGACCTGGAGGGTCAGCCCTGGTCCCTGGAGAGGGGCAAGGGGCCTCAACCACCCCAGTTACTTTCCTTCTTGGAACCGGAGCCGGGGCCGAGAGAAGTCATGACTCAGACCCCTGCAGGCCGTCCTTAGGCCCACGGGCAGGTCAGCCCTGGTCACAGACACACTCAGATCCAAAAAGCAAAATGAAAACAGCCAAAAGAGCCCTAGGGGCCTGGACTCTCTCTCTCCTCAGGAGTCCAGGGAGGGAGCTGCAGCCTCGCGGAAGACGGGAATGAGGGGCTAAGTGCCCTGTTCCGTGGGTCTCAAGCCCTTCCAAGGGGGGACACAGGTCCATCTGCTCATCACACCTACGTCCCCCCAGGGTGCCCTGGACGCCCATCGTTTCCCACCACGTTGACAGCTCAGCTAGGCCTCCTGGAACGTGGGATGGGAAGCTCAGGCCCCAGCAGTGCAGGGGTCCCACCCAGGGCATTCCAAGGCAAAAGGCTGTGAACAGGATTTCCAGGCTGCAGGCCAGAGGTGGTTCGGGAAGAGGTGAGGGAGGCGTAGGCTGCAGCTACGTACACAGCGCCGTGGTGAGCCGCTGCGGCTGGTTGTAGTGAACCATGGCCACGCACAACGTGTTCAGGGCCACCACACACAGCACCACCCAGTAGAAGCTCTGCGCCTTCACCATGCGGCGGATGAAAAACCGGAACATCTTCTCCTTCCTGCGGAAGTACGACGAACTCTCTGTCTTCCCACTCTTGAGGCTGGCACGGGCGAAGGGGGACCCTGGGGGAACAAGGAGCGCACTGAGGACACGCGGAGACCACAGGCCCCCGACACACTCCTCTTCCGTGGACGTGTGCCCCACAGACACAGCCTTGAGGACATGCTTGCACTCCCATCTCAAACATCTACCTCCCGCCTGAAAACACCTTCAAGGACACTTCCCCCAGCCCGGGACTAGCTTGAGGCCCCAGTTCTGATCACAGACACGTGTGCCCCTGGCATTTAGCTAATTACCCCTGCACCGCACCTCCCTGCACCGGTCCTGACCCCACCCTCATTTCACAGATGAGGGAACCCAGAGCCTTAGTGGTCTCCATGGTTACCAGGCTCCAGATGGTCTCCAGCACCCCCAGCACAGTCCAAATACCCCCAGGCCATCCCAACTCCTCCGGGGGCCTCAGGGAGCCACAAAGCATCTGGCCCTCCCTCCTACTTCAACTCAGGGATCAACAACCACTAGGTACCTATTTTTAAGTACCCTGGAAAGCAGCCAAGCTCCTTGGTTTGCATCTGGTCCATGGCTGCTGTTCTGGCACAGAGGCAGGGGTGAGTGTGTACGGCCCACAAAGCCCAACATACTCTCTGGAACATTTGTGCACGAAGCCGTCGCGGCTCTCCCCCATTTCCACACACACCCCACCTCTGCTCTGCTGGGACAGCGTGAAATGCTTCCCACCGCTGGTCTCTTTCCACAGCTGGCTGCTTCTCAGCTCCACATCTAGACTTTGATGTCACCTCCACAAAACACCCTTCTCTGGGACCCCATACAAAATCAGCACCCCGACGATAATGGCAACCATGTACCATCTGCCCCAACATTGGCTTGCTGACCTGTTCTGCGCCCAGCTCTCAGACCAGGCTGCCGGCTCGGTGAGGAGAGGCCCACAGGCTTTCACTTCAAAGCCCGCGCACCCTTGATGAACAAGTGAGCAGTCTTCGCGGGCGCCTGGAGGCTGTGAGTGTGCATGTGTGCAGGGTCTGGCTGTGTCTCTACAGTGCATCAGGGTTTCTTAGTTTTTGCAATAAAGGCCTGGGCACCTGTGAGCCTCTGACTGTTCAAAACCAGTCAGCTTGGGCATCGAGTCCCCCGGTAATTGTATGTGTGTCATGTTTATATATTTGCACGTGTGTGTATGTGTGTGCATGCGCAGACCCAGAACCTCAGCGCTAACAGCATTATCAGGCTGGTGTTTTCCTGGATTCACTGAAATGAAGACAGGCCCTGAGGCCTTTGGAGGGACTTGTCTACAGGCTGAGCAGCTGTGTTGGCGGAGACGCTGTCACACATATCCTTAGACTCAGAAGGAGGGTCCACAGGCCAGGACCCATCAGCCAGCCCTTCGAGAAACCTTGCAGGGCCCTCACGGCAAATTTGTGGCACTCTAGATGCCACACCCAGTCTAGACTCACGGAAGAGCACTGCTCCATCACAGCCTCCAGGGTAAGTCAGGGCACAGGCTCACAGCCCATCTCCAGACACCACACACTGGCCATTGCCAATTAGTCAGAACTAGCTCACTCAACAAAACCTCTTGCCAGCCTCACTGAGAGCTGCACAGTGCCAAGGCCATAGCCAGACATACCCGCTCCCTCCTCAAAAGCAGCAGTAGTGCACAGAGGGAGGCAGACAAGAGTATAGACAAGGAGAGACCTGCATACAGGCAGAGCCATGCACAGAGCCATCCAGAGAGCCACGCACGCAGACCCCTCACCACTTCCTGAGTCATTTAGAAGCAAAGTCTCTCTCTCTCTCTCTCTCTCTCTCTCTCTCTGACACACACACACACACACACACACACACACTGCATAGCATGAATTCACACCCTGACCATCTCACTCTCAAAGACACACCTACGAACACACACAGAGGGCCACTCTGGGAAGGAAGGTAATGCAGACACGTGACTTGTGTGAACTGCTCTGTGCACACACACGTGGCCAGCGAGACAAGCAGCAAGTTCTCCAGGGGAGGCTCCACGGCCCCCACCTCCCGGCTCACTGGACCACGCCCAGCAAGAACCAATGAGCCCCTGACACGCAAAAAGCCTCACAGGAACACCTCCTCGTCACAACTCCCGGCCCCCCTCATCCTGCACCTATGCCCACATGCAGACAACCACATACATCTTCACTCATCAAAGGCACACCCACAAAGCAGTGTCCACAGCCACATGTGCACAAAACCACGGATCCCCACTTGGCTCTTGAAGCCCCACCCATCCCCCCTCTAACAGACAGTCCAAGGGACAGGGCAGGGAGCAGAAGCCCCAGCACTCTGAGTGTGACGGGCTCTCTGTCAGTTCCTAGGGAGCACTGGCAGCCCCAGGACAGGGACCCGCCCGCCTCTCACTTGATTAGGGAACAGGGACACCCAGGCCACCACTATACAGGGCGTGTGGTGCCTCGGGGAATTCTGGGCCCCGGGTCTTTGAAGACAGGGGCACAGGCCCCGGAGGACAGTATTCCCAGCAAGAAGCTACCACCGTGTGCTCAGGTCAGCTCTAGGCCGTGACACCAGCCCAGGTCCTTGGTAAAAGCAGGGTCCACAGTGAGCATGGACACAAGGCACATCTAGAATCATAGCTCTGGGAGGGAAAGCGTGAGCAACGGGGCTGCTTCTTTTCAGCACTCTGCGTTTCCATGTTTAACTTCGTCAGCACATATTCTTTACTACCAGAAGGCTTATTTCAAGGAACAAGAATCTGATCTCGTCAGGCTAGGGGAAATCAAAAATTAAATTAACCTGTGAATGACGTCACAGTTAAGCATTAGTGTGAACAATGCATGACCACAGGCAATGTGTGGATTTCTTTCCAATGTGCCCAAAAGGCAGTTCATTTTTAACATAAAGTCTATGCCAGCCCTGCCTAACAGCCATTTCTTCCACAAACACGTACAGAGTTTTTGTGCCAGGCCCTGAGTGGCGGAGAGAAGACAGAATGACTAAGTTCTGTCCTAGCCCTTGGTGAGCCCACCAGAGGCCGTTGAAGGGACGGAGGAAAAAGAGCTTAGCTGCTGCATTCACCAGCATGGGGTAATGAAGTGAGCTTCAACACAAGCCGTGTAAACACAACTCCCCATCGCCCCTGCCCTAGACACGGGGCCTCATACATGTCACACGGCCTCGCTCGAAAATAGGAAACAAGTGACCTGGACCTCGCAGGCCGTGTAGGAGTCAGCGAAACAACGGTGCCCAGCACACGGGCTCAACCAACAGCAGCAGTGAGAGCGGATGGAGGGGTGTCAAGCCCAGCGCGTGAGACACGGGAGCGACAAAGGGGGCGCTGGGCACAATGAGGCGCATGGCTTCTTCCACCCCGCGAAGCCCCACACCACGCCTGTCCTGCGCCAGCCACTGCCAAGGCCCGAGGCCCGAGGGGAGTGACCCTTGGGCCCTGCCAGACGCCCAGGGGGAGAAAGCAGCAGAATCCCAGGGACTCGTGTGCAGCACCAAACCAACCACGATAAAAATAAAAAGAGAGAAACGTTTTGGAGAAAAAATAAAATTCCCTTCAGCAGATGAAAGAAAGGAGAAGCCTGGAGGATGGATGAAGGACAAGCGGGTCTCACGCGAGGGGAGAAACCTCAAGGGTCAGAGCAGGGACGACAGGGAGTCGGGACACAAAACGAGCATGGCGAGGAGACGAAGTCACTGCACAGATGGGAAGAAGCCTCCGTGAAGGAAGGCCGGGGCCCACAGGCAGAGAAGCCCCCGGGGCCTGATGCTGGGCAGAGAATGGGTCTCCCACCCTGGACGAGAGCTGCAGCCCCCGAGGCCGCATCTGCACAGGGAAAGAAGGGGACAGGGTGACACACAGAGCAAGGAGGAGCCAGCCAACGGGCCTCAGGCCTCGGAGGGTCCTCCCCACAGGCAGCCTCGCCTCGGGGAAGCCAGCCAAGCACAGGACAGAGACGAAGCAGAGACAGGTCTGTGGGACAGTGGCTGCGGAGAGGACATCTGAAAGCAAACCCGCCTCTGGGAGTGCTCCCTGGAGGAGTGACCCGCGGACTAACGACAGCCTACGGCTACAAACACCAAAGTCCTCTAAGCCAGGGGTTTGCGGGGAGAAGAGGGAAACACTGCAAAGGTCACATCTTCTTGACCTTTGGGCCCAGTAGGAGCAGAGTGATGGCAAATATAGCAATTTCCTCATGGAAATGATACATCTCAGTACTAAGGATGGTATAAAAAATAGATAAATACAGGCTAAAATAGTAAAGAAGAATGGTTCTAATTATGAAAGCAGGGGAGGGGAGGCGGCTGTTTGTGGGGTAGAAAAGTGAGAAATTTGTGGGGCGGGAAGACAGATTCCCAGACACCTTTTGACAGTGAAGAAAAGAAACCACGATGGGAAAGCCCATAAAGGGAGGCCATCCCAGCAAAGCCGTATGCGGGGGCGGGCACAGCCTTCAGTGCCTTTGTGGGTAAAGAAGAAAGGAAAAAGAAAGAGTTACACATTTTCTGAAATTAAGAAAGCAATAATAAATTAAATCAAAATGCTATAGAAAGATAGACTTAATAAAAATAAAAAGGAAAGTAATGACACCTAAAACAAAAAAAAATAGAAGAAAAGAAATCTAAACTGCGGTTATTTATTTATTTTTTAATGTTTTATTTATTTCTGAGAGTGAGAGAGAAAGAGAGACAGCGTGAGCAGGGGAGGGTCAGAGAGAGAGGGAGACATAGAATCCAAAACAGGCTCCAGGCTCTGAGCTGGCAGCACAGAGCCCGACGCGGGGCTCGAACCCATGAACCGTGAGATCATGACCTGAGCCGAAGTTGGACGCCCGGCTGAGGCCCCCAGGCGCCCCAGAACTGGGGTTATTTTAAATGATCATTAATACATATTCACCCCACACGATCCAAAGCAGAGTTAGCAGGATGCAAGTGGCTATAAGGCCTAAACACCCTCATAGCAACTGCGTGACATCTGCAGCCTGACCGCCAGATCCCCACATACGGGTGCCACCGGATGCCCCCACTGGCCCTCCAGCTGCTCCCTGGACTCTGGGAGTCAGCCCCCAGGCCCTCAGCCCCCACCCCACCCCCACTTAAGGCACATGGCCACCTGTGTCCTCCGATGCCCACACCCATCTGGCCAGCAAATCCTGTGCATTTGTCTTCAGAACATATCCAGAATCTGGCCACTAGACACTCCTATGGCGGCCATTGCCAGTCGGGTCCCTACAGCGGCCTCGTAAGAGGCCTGCGTCTGCCCCCCCCCCCACTTGAGGCTCTCCTGTGCCCCAACAGAAGCAGGGCAGCGACTCCAGCTCCGCTCTGCAAACCCACCAGCAGCCGCAGTCTTTGCTGGGTCCTGCCCTCCACGACCTTCTGATCCCCGGTGGCACGGCTCCCCCCAAAACCCACGGCGCTCCACTCCAGCCACCCTGGCCTCCCTGCCAGTCCCCACAAGTCCCACACTCCTTCCGGCCTCTGGATCTTTCCACATGTTGCTGGAATGTTCCCTTCCATGGGGGGGGGACTTCCTCCTTCAGCTTTTACTCAAAGGCGACCCCTTCCCCTTTCACACCAAAGGCCTCTGGTGGCCTTCTCTTTAAAATCCCAAAGCCCCCAAATCTCCCAAGACCCCTCCCTTCTTGACTTTTTCCTTTTCCAGAGGTAGCAGTGAAACACTGTGTGCTATTCCTATTAAACTGCTTGTGGTCTGATGCCACAGCTGGGCTAGAAAACCCAGAAGATGAAAGGGCTGCATCGTTTTGTTCAGCGCTGTAGCCCGGGGGCCTTGAACAGTTACTTGCACATCATGGGCACTTGAAAATATTTGCCGAGAGAATAAACAAACAAATGGCTGAATACAGGAGAGATTAAAAGAATTCTAAGAGGACCTACCGGCAGCTCTACAGAAACAAGTTTGAAACACTTTGAAAATGGAAGATTTCCCCACAAGGCATAATTTATAAAACTGGTCCAAGTTCTTTTTATTTCTTTACTAGATGGTTCACAGTTTTACCCTTGAAGAACAGATACTTTAGGTGTTGCTTGAATTATTCTAAACCATAGACTTTAAAAAATCAGAATAAAAACTCTAAGTAAAATAGAAATAAAGGGGACTATTTAAATATAACATTCACATGATAAATTTGTAAAAACTGTAACAAAGCTCAGATCCACAACACACATTAGTCTCTTATTAATTAGCAAACACAAACCACCCAACAGAAAAATGGACAGGTATATGAAGAATCACCAAAAGCCAAATTCAAATCAGAAGCAAACATTTTAAAAAAGCTCAAAAGCCTCAGTAACGAGTGAAATGAGAACAACAGCCCCAGAGAGACATCATGAAATTGGCCTCAAGGTCACAAAAGTCAAAAGTCGCGATGGCATGTACCTGGGAGGGGCACTTAGAGGAGGGGCACAGTGCCCAGCTCCCGGGAATCTGCCCGCAAGAACAGAAGCACTGGAAAGGAAGGGTGGGTGCTTATAGGGTTTTATTTGGTGGCACTGTTCATGATGAAGATAAAACAACCTAGAAATAAATGAATGGTCATCAACAGAGAGCAGCCAACCAATTAGAGTAAATCCACACTACACAACAGCAGGCAGCCACTGACAGGACCGAATTAGAATCACACTACAGAGGGGAGTGGCATCCAGAGGCACTGATGAGGAAAATTTGTATGAAAGCCTATCTGTAACATGACAAGATCCCCAAACTCTACATGTCGGTAGGTGTGTATGTGTGTATCATACGTGTGTATGATACAAATGTGTATTATATCTAAGATAAGTGTGGAGAAACAGGGTTAAATCCCAAGATACTGACATGGGTTTACTGGACTGTGTGGGGAGAAAAAGACAGAAAGGATAGATGATAGATAGGTACATAGATTGCTTGATTTATAGATGATAGGATGATTGACAGATGATAGATTGATAGACTGATCGACTGAATGACAGATATATACATAAGCAACTTTCATTAAAGAGTCTGCTCCAGATTCTTTGTCTCCCTCTTTCTGTCCCCCCCACCCCACTCACACTCTCTCTCTCTCTCTCAAAAATAAATACACATTAAAATTTTTTTAAAAAAAGGTTGTCTCATAAATGCAACCACATAATGAGACGCAGACCTCTGACTCAGACCTGCTCACAGACGGCTGGAGACCAAGTCCGCCTGCATTATCTTTGACCTGGTGCCCCTCAATGAGAAGCTCACTGCCATGCAGGCCCGTCTCCAACCACCACGGTGGAGGCCCATGGCTCAGCCCCCTTCTGCTGCAGAATGCACAGTAACAGGGCATTTGGTGGGAAAAGGTCTAGGCACTTCTGGTACCAGACTGAGGAAGGGAACTAAAACAGCTCTGTGTGATACAGTAACCGGAATTTCTCTTTTACCATGTGAGAAGAAGGGGATGAAGCCAGAGGCCCCAGGAGCACGGAAGGCAGACAGGGGCTGGGAAGAGAGACAGCCAGAACCTTTCGGTCCCCACAGTCAGTAACGCACACGTAGCCTTCAGCTCTGGGGTACGGCCCAAGGCTCTGTGTCCATGTTGGCGTGGTAGAGACGAGGCAGCCAGGGCTGCACTGATGGGAATAGGCAGGAGGCAGTGGGCAAAAAGGAACTTCCAGGAGCTGAACACACAGCTCACCCCACTGCCTGGCCCGACGAAAGAAAGCTGAGCACACAGCAGAGGGCAGAGGGCACTGTACCTCCTGCCATCAGCGTGGACATGGGAGTGTGGGCGGTAGGGAGGAAGGGAAGGGGGTGGCCCCAGAGGGCTAGGGAGCCTAGGGGACAGACAGGAAGCTAGGACAGGCAAGAAGTGCGGGAATTCCTGTACCCAGTCACAGGACAGGCCCCACTACGCAGGAGGACCCAAACAGACTCACCAACAGCACAGAGGTCTGCAAACCGGTCCTCCCCCTCCTCGGCATGGATCAGGTCATTCCGGCTCTTCTTGGTGGCTGCTCTCTTCAACACTGCTTTAAACAAGGGTGGGGAGAGGGGACTGCATGAGCCAGCACCCAGCTCACCTGCCTCAGGGCTGGGGTGTCTCTCAGCCTATCATGCGACCATCTATCCTGGCCCCTGTGGGCCCCTCTCAGTCTTCAGGGCACAGAGGACAAGGAATTTTGAGGGAGTGCCACTTTCCCTTTTCTCCATGATGACATCAGTGGGGAAGGCCTGGCTACCAGGGAGACCAGGAGACGTCTGTAAGCAAGGCCAGGACTGCAGCCCGCTGCCAAGCAGCCCACTCTGGGGCCAGAGAGAGCGTCAGGTCTGCAGAGGGGCCAGCGCAGATGAGCGCAGAGCCACAGGTGTGGAAACAGGAAGGGCTTCCTGTCACCGGGACTGTGCGAGTAGTCAGGCTAGTGACCATGGCCACACTGGCCCACGTGCCTGCCCCCGTGGGCCCAGGCTATGCTAGGGCGCCTTCCATGGCAATCTGGGAGCCACATCACACTGGGCTCTAGACAGACACAACCTGGTTTAAACCTGAACTTTAAACACTTCTAGAAACTGCACAGTCCAATAGAACTTTCTATAATGAAGGAAGTGATCTGTGTTTACGCTGACCAGTATAGTAGGCTCTAGCCCCATCTGTCTGTTGCATATTGAACACTTGAGGTATAGTGGGTGAGCCTGAGGAACAGGACCCTCACTTTTATTTCACTGCAGTGGACTTGCGCGTGAGGTTACACAGTCATGTGTAAACTGTCATGTTGGAGAACACAGCTCTCAGGTCCATCCGGTGAGCACAGGCTGGGCCCCCGGCTGACACCTCGGCAGGTATGGTGTCTGAGCCCACCGCCTGCTACATTCACTCTGGTCCACAGCACACGACTGCCCGGGAGCGTGCAGTGACCTCCAGAACAGGGCTGCCCCAGGCCGTGTGGAAGGTGCTGGGCGTGCAGCTGCCTGGCAGGGCGGAAGCCTTGCATACCACACACGCAAGCATGCACACGTGGCTCCCTGGGCACGGAGTGCTAACAGTGGTCACCTACCATCCAGAGGGGACTTCTCCTCCGCATTCTTGTCCTCCTCAGCCAGCATGACTTCCTCTGTGAGGGAGACACAGCCTCAGCTGGGAGCCTCCCTGTCCCTCCCCTCGCCCAGGGCTTGCTCCTCAGGAAAACAGCAGAAAGAAGACACGCCTCTGCTGCCGATCCTGCCTTCTCAGCCTTATATTCCAGAAGGATGTGGAGCTCATGGCTGAGTTTTTCCTGAGACACACACCCTCTATGTGTCCCACGTACGGTGCCTCACGAGGAGGGCCTGTCCTGTCCCCGTGTTCACATCACCCTCCCCTGAGAGCAGCCACCACACTGGGTGAGTTCCTGGCTGACGAGGCGCTTGAGGAGGCATAGCAGGTACCCCATATGGAGGAAAGAATGCTGGCCGGGCTGGGGGGCGGTCAGAAACCCCAGGCTTGACAAAACCCAGAGCCAGGGTGCAGAACACACTGAGGTCAAGGGTAGGGTGCTCGAGTCTGATAGGCAGAAACAGAAACTAGGCTAGGCCACGCCAGAAGCCTCCATTAGAAGGGCCAGTGTCTCCAGAGCCATAGGGCCGCCCTGTGTCAGGACCCAGGGTCAGCTGAAGAATACATTTCCGGCACCTCAGCCCCGTCCCACCCCCAGACTGGTCTCACCCACCCCAGGGCTAGGGCTCCAGCTACACTGACAAAGGACAGGCCAGGAGCAGGGCAGCAGCCCCTGGTTCTCACCAGCCTTGAAGATCCATTCCAGGTACCCATTGAGCTCCCGCTCAATCTGCTGCTGCCGGCGAAGCTTCAGGAAGGCCCGGCGGTTCTCCACCCTCTCACGCTCCTTGGCAAACTCTCTGCATTATGCAGGGGCCAGAAAAGTAAGCAGAGCAGGTGAGTGTGAGCACACCCATGGGTATGCAGACACAGAGGCAAAGAGAACCAGGAAGAGGCTGGGACATGACACGCAGGTCACGGGCCGCCCCTCCCAGGGAGTCTTACCCACCATGGCCTCTTCCAGCCTGAGCCCTCAGAGGGCCCAGGTGAACCCTCCTTCCTCAGACTCTGTCAGTACAAAGGGACAGCACCACAGTCCCCAGAGGTGGCTCCAGAGGGCAGGGACAATGCTACCCCCCTCCCCAGAGCAGGCCGAGGCACATCCTTCCCTCTGAGCGCCGGGCCCTGTCACCTGCCATCCCATGGGGAGCTTCTGGTCAAGAATTGCCCAGAGGACTTCCACTTTGTTTCTTCTGCTGGTTCAGACCCAGAGCCCTTGCTAGGAGGGGATGGACAGACAGGAACAGGGCAAGAAGGGACTGGATGGGGCAAGCTGGAGACCAAAGGAAAACATTCTACAGCCTATGGAAGCCACCTTGGCCAAAATTCTGACCAGGAGAGAGATTTCTGCCCTCCTTGGTCCTCAGCAGCTCAGCCCCAGCCTCCCAGCCAAGCTTTCAACCTCACACTTCCAGAAGGAAGCCATTCACACACAGGCACACAGGCACCCAGCATACAGCCTGGCAAGCTTCTCAGCTCAGGCTTGGGGCAGGATCCAGGTCCCCAAAGGGTAGGCGGGCACAGTCCCATGGCAGAATAGAAATGTCTGGTCTCAGCTGAGTGGTTGTTTCTCCTCCAAGAGAATCAGCTTCTGCGCTTGGTGCAGTGAGCCTGGCAGGCCTGACTCCTGGCACACAGCCACAGCAGGAGACAGAGCTCAGCTCTGGCCAGCACTGACCCAAGCTCATGGCCAAGTGTCCACCAAGGCCTGAGCTATGGCAGCCCTGGCGATGGGAGGAGCCAGCTCCTGCGTGGACCTCCCATCCCTCCCAAACCTTGAATCTGTAGAACACAGGACCCCTCTCCTCCTCCCCTCTCCATTCAGGCCCTCTCCCTTGGCCACGATGAGGGCAGGAGGGCCTGGGGTACAGGGGTGGGGCACTGCCTGAGTCCATCTCAGAGCCACCAGTGAAACTTGCTGCAGCAATCTAGGCCCTGCACACAGCAGCCACTTCCCAAATGAGAGCCGGCAGCGGGGCCTGCCTTCCCCAGGCATCAGTTCTAACTGATAAGAAAAGCCACAAGAGGACTCGCTGACACTGCTCCTCTGGGACGGAGACCGGGAGGCTGGCTGGCTCCAAGCCCGCTACTCCAGCAGCTCTTGCCCAGACATGGACGGCGTCCTGCAGGGCAAGCTTTCCCCAGGCCAGGCTGCAGAAGTGGCTTCTAACCACTGCTTCCGTGGGACACACATGCTGGGCGTTGACTCCTGGCCTTAGGGGCCTTGCCATCTCCAAGCCTCCCTAGGCCTGAAAGAGAGCCCTGGGATCCCTCTGCTTCGCCGGGAGGCCTGAGGGAAGGCTTAGCTGAGACAGGAAAACCATCCCATATCATCCCATTCCCAGAGGCCAGGGTGCTCACAGTGCAGAGAAGGGCTCCACAGTCAAAACGTTCGTGGCCCTGCTCAGTGTAGCAGCCCCCAACCCCAGAGTTCTTCGTGCACATTCTCGAGGGTTAGCTGCACAAAGCCAGGCTGAGCAGGCTGCTATCCCAACTCGACACGAACCCACTCATGTTCCACCACCTCCCGACCGTGCACTGTCCTCAGCGCGGAGCCCACGCTCCACACAGCCTGCCGTCTGCCAGCCCAGCGCCCTCTCTCCCCTCCACACCTCTGGTTCCAGCTCTGAGCATCCCTGCACCCCTCGTCCCTCTGGACCTCCAACCCAGCTCTCCTCTGCCGGGAGGCCCTCCTCCCTCCTTCGCTGAGTGCATCCCTGGTCCCCTCTTGGGTCTCAACGGAAAGGCCCCTTCCCTAGGTGGCTTCGCTGCCAGAGCTCCAGGTCTCCCCTGGCTTCCCATTGACCCCATTGAGCTCCGACAATGCAATTCCCTCACGAGACTAGAAGTTCTACATCCGTCCCCTGTGCTGTGGGCTTGCCCGTCCTACGGAAGTGCTTGGAAAGACATGTCAGTGACATACCCTTCACAGGATAGGACGGGGCCAAGGATACATTTCAGAGCCAGAGCACGCAGGCCTTGGCCCCTAACCACTGTCCACTCAGTGGCTGTCCCTTTCCAGGCCAGTAAGACAGCTGCCCCTTGAGCCCACCAGCCTCTCCCCTGGCCTCCCTTAGGAACCTGGGCCTGAGCAGGAATCTTCAGGGCGGGCAGGGAAGAGTTGTTCTCCTCCAGTCTTACAGCAGGTATGACACCAAGGTGGGGGCAGAGAGGAGGCCAGGCCTTCCCAACACAGCTTCCTCAGCCTGGTGGAAGGGCAGGGGCCTCAAACACCAACCCCATCTGTGCCCCTAAGCACACAGCATTTCTGTAGCCATTGGTCCGTACAGACAAGAGGGTGCTGTGTGCCCCATCTCACTGCAATGTGGGGTCAGGAAGCACCTTTCTTCAGGAGGGACTCCTAGCCCCACACCGTCCCTTACTCTCTACTAGAGGCGTTCAGCACCAAAAAGTGACTGGAGAGGAGGAGCAAGCTAGGGGTGAAGGCTGGGCTGGAGAATCTAAGATACAGGATGGCCCCATCACCCTCCACTCCCAGAAACTCCACCAGGACCCAGGTGAGGTGCAGCAGTAGCCCCTCCCCCATCATCAGAGCCAAGTGAAGGCCAAGGGTGGGATAGAGGTAAGGAGGCCAGGACCAGACAATGGTCATGGCAGAGGTCAGGATGGCAGCACAAAGGAAGGGCTGGCCAGAGCTCACTATGCTGGGAGCGACCACCACAGAGGGTGGCCGTGAGGCCTTTCCCACGTCACGCATGCCCATATCTGACCCCACCATCTGTTCCCCTAGCCTGAGAACACGGAGGGGCAGGCAGCACACAAGCCCATGAGGCCTCTTACCCTGAGAGCACACCCAACACCAGGTTGAGCATGAAGAAGGAGCCGATGATGATGAGAGGGATGAAGTAGAGCCAGTTCCAGGTGTTGCCAGCTGCATCATTTGTCTGGAAGCAAAGGGAAGATGAGGAAAACCCGGTAGACAAGACACACAGTGCTGGTTACCGAAGTGCCCCTGACCCGACCTCAAATTCCTGGTAGCGCCTAGGCAGGGAGAGTTCAGGTACTGGGAGGTCCCGACAGGGGGAGTCCACGCAGGACCTACAGCAGACTTGCCTGCCTTTGTCCCACAAAGCTTTCACTGGAGCTGCAGCTCTCGAAAGACCAAGGACACTTAGCAGTCCTGGTCACTGCCCAGCAATGCTAAAAAGCCAAGGAGTTGTTCCAGGGAGGCAAAGGGTCCCAAGACACCTTGAGGGCTGCATGCCAGCCTCTGCTTGGACAGCTTCCCTATTCTTCCCAGGGTGCTAGACATACCAGTCAGCTCCAAAGACACTTCCCCTGAATGGAGCCCACGGGCCCTAGGCTCAAGTCTGCAGCAGCTTCCACAGCTCAGAGGCAGTGAGCCCCATGCCGTATTTCCCCCGGGTCAAGTGCAGGTCCACAAGTCCCCAGGAACAGTTCTTACCATGTGCCTGGTTTCAGCCACAAGCCAGCACTCAGGCATAATCTAAAAACTGAATGCAAAGAAAGGCATCTCCTAGATCTTTCGACTTTTATAGCCTGGGTCTCATAACACAGTACCAATACTGTCCAGTTTTCTTTTTTTTTTTAATTTTTTAATGTTTGTTTATTATTGAGACAAAGAGAAAAAGAGCATGAGTGTGGGAGGGCCAGAGAGAGAGAGACACACACACAGAATCCAAAGCAGGCTCCAGGCTCTGAGCTGTTAGCAAAGAGCCCAATGCGGGGCTCGAGCCTGAGCTGAAGTCGGATGCTTAATGGACTGAGCCACCCGGGCACCCCATAAAGTGTCCAGTTTTCAACTGAAACTCATCTGCCATGCCAAGAATCAGGAAAGGAACAAACAGAATGGAAAAAAAGAAAATCAACAGATGCTTTATGGTTAATTTTGTGTGTCAACCTTGACTGGGCCATGGGGTCCCTAGATATTTAATCAAACATTATTCTGGGTGTTTCTGTAAATGTGTTTGGGAGGAGATTAACATTTTAACTGACAGAGTAAAGCAGATTCCCTCCCATAATGTGGTGGACCTCATCCAGTAAGTTGAAGGTCTGAGTAGAACAAAAAGACCAACTCTCCTCCAAGTAAAAGGGAATTCCCTGGTAGACTGCCCTCAGACTTCATCTGCACCATTGGCTCTACTGGGTTTCCACCTGTTGGCTTCCAGACTGGAAATGTACCACCATCTCTCCTGGGTCTTGGCCCTGCCAGCTCAAACTGCAGATTTGGACCTGCCAGTCTTCATAATCACAAGAAACAATTCCCAACAACAAATTAGTCAATTTCTCTCTCTCTCTTCATATGTATCTATATACACACGTACATATACATCCTATCTGCTCTATATTTCTGGAGGACCCTGACTGATACATATTACCAACATTAGGTGACAGAGATAGTAAAAAGTATCTGACAAAGATTTTAAAGCAGCTATTATAAAAATACTTCAGAGAGTAATCATGTACACACTTGAAACACACTCAAAAATAGAAAATCTCAACAAATAAATAGTATCAGCAAACAAGTAGAAGACATAAAGAAGAACCAAATGGAAAACGTAGAACTGAAAACCACAATAATCAAAATAAAAATCTAAATGGAAGGCACAACAACAGAATGGAGGAGACAGAGGAAAGAATAAGTGAAGAGTGAAAAAGAAAACTAGAAGTTACCCAGTCTGATAAACCGAAAGAAACCTGACTTCAAAAACAAACAAGAAAAAAAAAAAAAAAACAGAACAGAGACTAAAGCACCTGTGGGACTATGACAACAGCCCTAACGTTCATGTCATCAGGACGGCAAAATACAGCAGTGCTCAGTGTGCTGGGAGTGGCCGCCATGCACTCATGGAGGCTGGAAAGTACTAAAAACAAAAATGCTTGAAAACTTCTTAAATTTGTCAAGAGACATAAACCTACAGATTCAAGAAGCTAACCAAGCACCAAATAAGATAAATCTGGGCCTCCCGGGTGGCTCAGTTGGTTTCAGCTCTGGTTGTGGCCCCAGCGCCATGGGACTGAGCCCTGTGACGGGCTCCATGCCGAGTGTGGAGCCTCCGCAACACTCCCGCTCCCTCTCCCTCTGCCCCTCCCCTGCTGTGTGTGTGCATGCACTCTCTCTCTCTCCCTCTGTAATAAAAAATAGAAATAAAAAATAAAATAAGATAAACCCAAAGAAATCTACAGCATGACATATCATAGTCAAATTTATGAAAACTAAAGACAAATCAAAAATCTTTCAAGCGGCAAAAGAGAAATAACACCTTACTTATAGGTGGAAAACAATTCTAAATAGTCCTTGGGTCAAAGAAGAAGTCTCAAGGGAAATATAAAAATACACTGAACTGAATAAAAATGAAAATATAATATATAAAATTTGAAGGGCACAGCTAACGCAGTGCCAGGAGGGAAATTTCTGTCACTAAATACATACATTACAAAGAGGAAAAGTCTCAAATCAATAATCTAAACTTCCACCTCATGATGCTAGAAAAAAAAAAGAGCAACATAAACCATATAATACGTTTTGTTATATAAATAAATATAATGTTAAGAGCATAAATTAACCAAGTTGAGAAGAAAAACAATAGAAAAAAATGCAAATTTTTAACTTGGTTCTCTGAAAAAAATCGGTTACATTGACATACCTCTAACAATACTGACCAAGAAAAAAGGAGAAAAGATACATATTATCAATATTATGAATGAAACCGGGGCTATCACTACAGACCCAGCAAACATCAAAAGGTTAATGAAGGAATACCACAAACAACTCTACATACATTCAATCACATGGAGGAAATGGACCAAGTTCTCAAAACACACAAACTACCACAACTCATCCAATGTAAAATAGCCAAATTTAATAGTACTACAATTATTAAGGAAAGTGAAATTGTAATTTAAAAAATCTCCCCCCTAAAAATGACATATTGATCAATGGAATAAAACTGATGATACAGAAATAAACCCTTACATTTATGATCAGTTGATTTTTCAACAGTGGTGCCAAGAAATTCAATGGGCGAAAGAACAGTCTTTTCAACAAATGGTAGCAAGACAACTGGATATCCACTTGCAAAGGGTAATGCTGACTCCCTACCTTACATCACATACAAAAATTAAAACGTATCCTAGACCTAAATACGAGAGCAGAAACAAGAAAACTCTTAAGAGAAAATATAGGAGTAAATCTTCATGACTTTGGATTTGATAATGAATTCTTAGCTATAACACCAAAAGCACAATGGTGAAAATAAAAACAGAAAAATTGGACTTCATCAAAATAAAAATTGTTCATAATTCAAATGACACCATCAAGAAAGTGAAAAGACAATGCACAAAATGTGAGAAATATTTACAAATCATATATCTGATAAGGGTCTAGCAACCATAACAGATACTGGTCAATAATAAAAGGATAAAGTAACCAATTTTAAAATGGGAAAATGATCTGAATATACGTTTTTCCAAAGAAGACATATAAATGGTGTAGTAAGCACATAAAAGATTCTCAATATCATTAAGTCATTAGGGAAATGCAAATCAAAGCCAAAATGAAATACCACCTTATTTCGTGGTTGTTTGATTAAATTTAAAATTAAATTTTAACAAGAAACAATAGGCGTTGTTGAGGATGTGGAGAAAAAGGAACACTCACGCACTGTTAGTGGGAATGCAAACTGGTGCAGCCACTCTGGAAAATAGTACATTTTCTCAGAAAGTTAAAAATAGTACTACCCTACAATCCAGCAATCACACTACTGGGTATTTACCCAAAGAATATAAGAACACTAGTTCAAAAGGATACATTCACCTCTATGTTCATGGCAAAATTATTTACAATAGCCAAGACATGCAAACAGCCCAAATGCCCACTGATTGATGAATGGATAAAGAAGATATATAAACATATATTTATATGTAAATGTATTTATATGTATATACATACATACATATATACATTCAGCCATATAAAAAAGAATTAAATCTTGGGGCACCTGGGCTGTTTAGTCAGTAAAGCATCCAACTTCAGCTCAAGTCATGATCTCACAGTTTGTGACTTCAAGCCCCCCATTGGGCTCTGTGCTGACAGCTCAGAGCCTGGAGTCTGCTTGAGATTCTGTGTTTCCCTCTCTCTCTGTCCCTCCCCAGCTCATGCTCTGGTGCACTCTCTCTCTCAAAATAACAAATAAACATTTAAAACATTTAAAAAAGAGGGGCGCCTGGGTGGCTTAGTTGGTTAAGCGTCCGACTTTCGCTTAGGTCATGATCTCGCGGTTCGTGGGCTCGAGCCCCGCGTCGGGCTCTGTGCTGACTGCCAGCTCAGAGCCTGGAGCCTGTTTCAGTCTGTGACTCCCCCTCTCTCTCTGACCCTCCCCTGCTCACGCTGTCTCTCTCTCTCTCTCCTAGAAATAAATAAAAAACATTAAAAAAAAACATTTAAAAAAAGAAATCTCTAGACCCAATTCTCCAAAAAAGAATTAATACCACGTATACAGATCTCTTCTAGAAAATGAGAGAGAAGGAGCTACTTTCTAATTCATTTTATAAAGCTTGTATTGCCCTCATACCAAAACCAGACAAACATAATTCAAAATAGAAGGAAATTACAGACCAAAATCCCTCATGAATATGGATGTCAGAATCCTTAGTGAAATATTAACAAATTGATTTAAGCAATGTATAAAAATAATTATATACCATGACCATGTGGGGTTTGTTCCGGGGATGCCAAGCTGTTTCAAAATTCAAAACTCAATCAACGTAATCCACTGTATTAACAGACTAAAGGAAAAATCACACTATCATATCAATGCAAAAAAATTCAACACCCAAGCATGATACAACCTCTCAGAAAGGTAGGTATAGGAGAACTGCCTCAGTTTGATAAAGAACATCCACAAAAAACCAAAAAATTTGC